ATCAGTGTTTTTGTTGAGTTTTTTTCAGTCAGTTTACGTGAACAGATGTTTTCAGACAGGAAGTAACAACTCCTCTCCCTCCCCCCTTACCCATGTCAGCAATTTGCAGTCTCAACTTCATTACTTCCCCTTTTGCCAAGCAACCTCCCAAGAACACACAGAAGAAGTTATTTGCATATTACAATTGTTCATAGACCCACACTTCTGTTTACTGGTGGTTCTGTAGGAACTAAAAAGGGGAAATTCCCCTATTGCTGGATTCCCACTTAAAGTAAATTAATGTACCTGAATAATGTGATTTCAAATGAGAGTAACTGGCGTTTGCAAATAATACTTATCACTTTGTGACAAACAGACAAAAGGATTAGGCTGGAGTTGAATTCTTTTAAGCACAAGACACTCCGCTGACGAAATTGTCCACAGAGGCTCAGTCCCATTTCCGTTTATTCCTCCAGTCTTTTGCCAACAATATGATTTCATTGCACAGACAACAAACCACAACACTCTGGCCGTGGTTACACAGTTGCATAATTAGAATGGTAAGTATGAACATTATGTCAAAGTGATCAAATAAAACTAGCTAATCTGTTGTGCCCAGCTGTGTGCAGAACCCTCTTGGCACTGCGCGTGTATTGATTTTATTAATTTTCTCATTTGGAATGTTGACAAGAGGAAAATAACATACAGCAAAGCTAAATGACTATTTAAATACCATTTAATTTGGCCTCTGTGATTTAGCTGTCTGCCGTGCACCTGGAGGAAAAAGATAATTTAAGGTTAATTCAATAGAACCTCTTGGACAGCAACTTATTGCCACATCTGTGCCACTGTCTCCTGAATGTTTGTGAGCGCAGTGCTACTTTATTATGCTAGCTTGCTACGCCTACACAACTAGAGGATTCCAGATAACTGCTATCAAAGAACTACAGCATCAAGCATGCTTCTGTAATGTGTGCGTGCTGGGGTTATTTGACAAGCTAAAGCTTAGCCTTTCATTCTGAACTTCAAGCTCAAAAGCATAGAAGACGTGCAGTATTTTCTAAGGATCAGAAAATCAGTGGGGCGAGAATTAAAATCAGACATGGATCGTATGCTTAGGAGACGTCTAGAGGCTTCCTCCCTTTCAAACTCCATAGGGACCCAGAGTTGGTTATTGATCACTGTTAACATAGGAGTGATAGTTTTCTGTCACCATACTTTTGGTGAAGCAGATGCAGTGCTTCACAAAAGTAATTCAAACCCCCAACTATGTGTTCTTGACTAGGCGGCAATATGTGATAAACTGGGACATGGAATGTTTTGAATTCACCTGTGGCATAATTGGAAATAAACTGCTCATCTTGACGTTGATGATGAAGCTGTTTTTCCTATTTCAAGTTGATTGTACACAAACAACAATCCCAGAATGTTGTGCGGATAACACAAAACGTAATCTCTTAATCTTCTTTGTTAAGGAACAGAAATTTCTGTTTTTGCATGTTGATACAAATAAATAACCGCTTTGTGAAATACAGTCTCAAGGATTTTATGTAATGACAGGTTTGGCCACGTCTGCTGTATAAATTAGCTCGTCATCTTCACTGGTCAACTGTTTCTATGTGTCGCCTTTTGCTTTTGAGACCTTTTGCTTTTTAGTCTTCTTCCCTGGTTCGATAATTTCCTGGAGATTTTGTTTGTTGTCCTTATCTCTGAGCTTACTTCTTGTATTCTGTTTTTAGTTTCAGCCCTCAATGTTTAGGTTCTTCTTTCTTTTCACTGCAACTAGTTGTACTCAGGTCTTTTTCCATTTTTTAATTTTTTAATTTCCAAGTTTTATTCATGGATTCAAACTCAACTGCGCTTCTACTTTCTGTTAAATAAAGCCTCAAGCTCATTTATTTGTCTACATCTGGATTGCTAATCTTTGAATCTGGGTCATTCAAATCTTCAACCGTGGACATCATAACACCATCTATCCAAACATAACCCGGTTTGGGGTATTTAAACGTAATTGGTTATATATTATCTCATTTTTTGCTTGGCTATGGTTAAGAAAACATCACTTACATTAAAACCGACTGGTCTTTTCGGTCTCGCACTCATACAGCTTTCTGAGAGACAAAAAACAAGTTGGACAATGCCTTTGGCATATCCACTACAAAGCCTTCATTTGAGCACAGTACTTGGTATTATTTTGCTTGTGTAATTTGACCTTGACAAATGAAAAACATGGACTTTAACTGAGGTATGCGTGGCCACCATTGCACATGTGGTCATCAATCCACATCTTGATATGTAGCAAATGGGCAAAAGTGAACCATGTGGTATCTTTTAACTTGCTCCCATAAATCAGATCACTTAGCCATTAAAGAACACTGTTTAGTGGCAGTTTACTAAAAGGAAATCACAGCCTAGACTCTGCCCAACAAATGTACATATTCTGTTCAGTCTATATAATGTCTATGTTCACTCTTTAAAGCTCTTCTGTGGAAATTCAACGCTGCAAGTGGTTGAGTTCTATAAATCGCTCACTTGTATTTGTTCTGCTTAAAAAGAAGATGTGTAGATGTTATATCTCTGTCCTACCAACCACATGTCCAGAAATACCTCTATTCCTCTATTGGTCAGCAGCCACAAGTGTTGACTTCATTTTTCGTTCTCGGCTTCTTACACAGATACAGCTAATGTCTCCCGTGTTACCACCTCCATGCTCAACCCTTCCGTTCATCTCACCCTGTTCACACTGTGTATGCAATCTCATCCCATTCCACACATCGCTTATATAAAATCAGCACCTCTGCTTTGGCAGCTAGCGCTTGCACGGAGATAAGATGGTGGACAGAGCCGTTCTGAAAATCACCATCCCAATTCCCTCTCGCTTGCAATTCCTCTTTTTTTCAACCTTCCTCAACTCAGGGCTTGTGGTTAAAATGATTTATGGCGAAATAAAGATGTTATAGAATACAGGGGTTAAGATTCAACACACTGATAGAGTTGCTAGGTTTTATGAATCATGGTGAATCAAGATTTTCAACATGAATAGAATGTGGATGCTACTCTAAAACTAATTCTGCTGAGATGGGACTCAAGTTGCCCTTTAAAAAACATCTGAGTCCTACGTTGTGTCACAGGTTCTGGAGGGTCTAAGGCATGGCTTGTTCCTATGATAAATGGCACGGGGAAAGACAAGTTTCTTATTATAGCACAACTGAAACAAAAAGTTCTTAAAAGTGCGTTAACAGTGACTAAATTCATTTTTAAAAAATGAATAACGACTATCTAAATAACTATTAGGATATAATTTCAATAACAACATGTTTACCCGGTGTGACACACCTTGAATATTGCCCACCACTGTCTCATAAAAAGCCTATCTCTGGGTCCTAAGGCTGAAATGCTCGAGAAAGAGTTGGGCCCAAACCCAAAGCAGACACATTTAACTGTTCATTTATTCTTTCCATGTCAGAAGTGTCTGGTTTTCAAGTGGAAACTTGGGATAAGTGACTGCGCTCATAATCTAGGGCTCACTTATATCAAATAAACATTTATCTACAACATTGAACTCATTGTTTTATGTGAGTGGAAGCGTTTCCACAAACTTGTCATCGAAAAATGAAAGCCTTTTTTTTTTCAAACTCATCTGATTGATTGGTAAGAATTTCCCTAGAAAAAGTGTAAAGAGATGACAAAGGCTTTTCATTTTATGTTAAAAAAAAAGAGGAAAAAAACAATAATAAAGCATTCTCTAAATGTACTGGCAAAGCAAGCTCTCGGCAGGATGTTGAAGCCAGACGGGGGTTTCTGTGTCACCAGCAGAGCCGTTAGCAGTAAGCAGGTACAACATTACAGGAAGTAGAGGAGGTTTGGGAAATGAAATGCAAGCAGGGTTTATAAAAGATGAGGTAGCACATCAAATGACGGGTAGAACGGTTTTCAGAAAGCTATTTGTGGCCTGCGTCTTTGCACGCCAAAAGCAGACCGTACAGAATGGAGACGCTTCTTTTTCTATTTCCTCAATTTAACTACATGGCCCCGAAGGAGGAAGCGTATTTCAAAATGTTTGGGCCAGAGGACTTGCAGGCTACAAAGATGAAGGACGACAGTAGCAGGTTGGTGTGTGAATCCTACCTATTTTCTACTATTCATTTGATCTGTCAATTAAATATATTTCTTCTTTTTTTCTGTAACAATGTGAAGGCTCTTGTAGTAACATAAAGAGAACATCTGCAAGCATGAGAAAGGAGATTAAGCATCAAACAAAGCTGTCTTAGTCTAATCAGCAGCATTATTCTTAAACATGGGCTCGAAAATCTTCGGTTCTCCCTCTAAAATGTCTGCTTCTTTGTTAAAACTTCGACATGGCTCTTTCTCTCGGCTCTCGCCTTACAGGCAAAGCGGTTGTGCAACTTACTGCGAGTCATGTAAACCGCTTTATGGAGGTCTTTATGGAGAAAATTCTGTGATAAGCAGCTGATTCTGTGAACTGCCACCGTTGCAGAACAGACACTGTGCAAAACTTTATGTGTGTTTTTTTTTTTCCCTCCCTCGGTTGCAGACAGAAAGACAAGGAGAAGAGGAGTCGACTAAGCCTTTTTCTCACCAAGTCGGGCTCCCATGAAAATGTCAGTCCCCAGAAAAAGACAAATACGACGCAGAGCAAGTGAGGCACAATCCGTTATTCTCACACGCAGCAGTCGTAATTTCAGACAAGCGAGATTCATTTCAACATCACTTTCCACGACCCTCCATGTCTCATTAAACGAGCATGGAATTTATACAACTCAAAGAGAATCACAAAGGTTTTTTTTTTTTTTATCTGCATTGTTGGGTGAAATCTGACTGCAACTCTGATTCTTTTTATTTTTTTCATTTATCCGTGTATTGTTTTTTACTCAATATGGTGTTTTTTCTAAGTTTTATTTATTTGTTTATCGATTTTTTTTTTTTTCAGCATCTCAACAGAGGCAGCCTTACAATGGAGCGACTCATTTGAAGAACTGCTACAGCATTCAGGTCAGATTAGCGCACAAAACTTCAGAATTGTTGCGCGGAATTGATGTCCAAAAGAATTGCTTCAGCTGTCAAACGACTGGTCCCGTTTGGATTGTAAACTGTAACGGAGTGCTGGAAGCCATGAATAGTTAATGGGGACAGCAGTGAGAGTTTCACTACATCTTTTCATGTTTGTTAGCACAGACAGTAAAACAGAAACTGTGCAACTTCCTCCTAATCACAGAAGTTGCACTTTGGGGCCACACTGAAACAATGTAAACCGCTCTGTGTGGAAACGGCTCGAGCCTGTCATGCAGATAACATTATCTATAAGTTATAAGGCTGTTCTACTTTCTCTTTGAGTGATTTCCGTGTCTTAGAATTGTTTCAACTGCACTAATTGCCCATTTGTGTCCAAATCAAGTGTGAGCCTCCTTCACTCAACATGCTCAGAGGAGTTACTTGTCTCGTGGCAGCTATTAATAGTACGTCTCTTTTTATTTTCCTTTATCAGATGGGGTAGAGACCTTCTCTCAATTTCTCAGGACAGAGTTCAGTGAAGAAAACATTGAATTCTGGTTGGCCTGTGAGGAATACAAGACCATAGACGCTGAAAAAAAGCTGCTGTCCAAAGCCAAATATATTTATTCGGTTTTTATTGAATCGGAAGCCCCCAAAGAGGTATGAAGTGGCTTGTTTATCTCCTATGAACTAAGTAGAATTTTTTTTTGTTGCCATGATGCAGTTTTGAGGCATTCATCCATTTTTCTATCCAACGCAGGGCCACACAGATAGCATTTAGTGTTTTTTCTTTGTTTAATAGTCAAAAAACAAGAAGTCTATTTTAGAACTACCAGTGGTTGAGTTCTAACAGCCAAACTCGTGAGCGTGCACAGACCTGACCTTTGAAACCGCTGGGTGAAGATCATGTGCCTCGTGCATGCACTGCTGCAAAGCAGGCCGGGTTATTTGTGGTTCAGACAGTTGTGGTTTTTCAAAGGTCTGGACGCTTTTTACAAGGACGATGTGACCGCCATCTCACCGCGTCAGGTCCCGCTCCAGTTTTAACCGTTAAAGAGTTTTTGCATCTGGTTTGAGGTTGCAAATTTTGAAGAAACATTTTTTTTTTTTTGCAGAGCAAGAAAGAGCATCTCCCACACACTTTCAGTTTAACATAAATGCATGGGGAGTTTGTTTGTTTTTTGTTTGTTTTTTAATCAGCTGTGGTCATGTACACCATTTCAAGGGATGTGCAGGAGAGATAAACATGTAAATGACTCCCACCTTCGGTGCAAAAGATCGAACAAGATCGTGACACCAAATTGCTAAAGTTTGAGTTCAGCTTTTTGAGCACATACAAAAACAGGAAACTCCTTCTTTAAATAGCGCAGAGTCTTGCAAAATGCATTTATCTCTCAAAGTGTTGAGTTAGCATATACTCTATATTGGCTTTAGCTTTGATTTTCCTTGAAAAAAGTTACATACCGACAGTATTTGACACTGAAATAAATGAAAAGTTGGGTTCCTCATTGAATGCTGACGTTATGCCACTCCCACTGTGGGAATGGGGTTCTCCCTCTTTTTTTAGAATTCTGTGATAAAATCTCACTGACCAGTCTATCTTGTTCTTCCATTCTGTGTTGTTGCACTTTGAACTGCAGTTAAATTCAACCTAAAAAACTATGAAAACTCAGTAGAAACAAATTGATCTAGTTAAAAGTGGGTAAAAGTATTTCATGTACACCGTTAATAATCCGTTTTAAAACTGCATGGGCTATTATTATATACTGTTTTCATTTTTTTAACCAGGTCAACATTGACTACAACACCAAAATGGCCATCCAGAAGAGCATGGCGCAGCCCACAAAGAGCTGTTTTGAAACGGCCCAGATGAAAGTCTACAGCCTGATGAAAAAGGACTCGTACCCCAGGTTCCTGCACTCTGACATTTATCTGCGTCTAACCAAGAAGAAGGGCCCCGGGGCCACAATGTTTCGCAGAAGGTCACGCTCCTGTGTCTTCAACGAGCGGGGGGAGGCCACGAGCGAGCCCTCAGCTTGGTAGTTGGAACATCGCAAGGGGTTGAGGCTGACTTTGTGGAACGGATTCAATATCCACCGGCAAATAATCTGTGATTTGTGGGAAAATCGTTGAAACGCGAAATGGGATGTTGTATTCGAGCATCCTGAGGTTCTTATCTGCACATGCGTATTTATCTCTGTGCAGCCAACTCGTGGCTTATTAACCTATGCATCAGCAGTGATTGTCCAAAAGGTACATTTTGGGAAATACCCGTTCTTGTCAAGATTTAAATAAGGTTTTTAAGATCGTAATATTCGCATAAGGGGTTTTAAGATACCAGTTAGCTGTTTTATCTTATGCTACCATCAGGGGATTAGAATCCCCATGTACGTGTTTAGCAATCAAATAAATTATTCACTTCTAACTGTTTTCATTTAAGCTTCTTGAATTATATAATTTAAATAAACGTTGCATGTGGTGAAAATTGCACATTGTGGTTAAGTGCTGTTGTGGGTCAGCCTGAAATTTTCACTGAGTTCCCGGCGGCCTAATAAAAATGCTATGAGTAGTTTAATTTCTGTCCGTTTAAATCAATCTAGTTTAAGGTTCAGACATGAGAAGGGTGAAAAATGTGTCATTTGACTCCTTACTTGAACGTTAAAAGGCATCATCCAACCAAATTTTGAACAATTTCTCGGGAACGGGACATATCACAGCTGCGTGGTTATCGGAAAGTGGTCGACATCTCTTGGCCAGTCGGCCAGCTATTGGCTGCGGTCTGAATCTTTGTGGATAATCTTGCTACGTTTCAGACTGAGGCCCTGTACTGATTGTGACAACTTTTAGTGGGAAAGTTAGTCAAGGAATCTCAGCTGAAGCCCCCACCCCCACTACTGACGATATCAGGCCAACTACGCTGAGGCAACCCTTCAGACTTCCATGTTTCACTTCAGTTGCCTTGTTCCCCTATCCAGCAGTCGCACCTTATACAACATTAATACTGTTGATATGAGTTAATTTCACCGAATCTCATTAAAATGAAGCCGCGATGTTATCTCTTGCGCTGTCCAGCCTCCTCCAGACTAACGAGTGTTGAAAGCCTGCAGCCGTGGTGACTGCAAAGCACTGAAACTCTTCCTTTTTTCTATTTTTGTTTAACTAGGTTCTCTTGTTTCTGTTTTTAATTAGAAGTTCCCGAATTCGCACACATGTAATGCATATTTCTTTGTTGAATACTAATATAACTTTATTATGATGATGATTGCTGTTTTTTTTGTCTTTTTTCCATCTAATATAATATATATGTTGCTTCATTTGTTGTAAATTGTACATATTGCTATATCTGCAGAGAGTCAAATAAAAGCTTTCCTGCGAAAGTAGTTTAAACAAAGCTTTTTGTGACATTAAGTAGTTTAAATGGCCACTTCTAAACGTGACAAATGGAGTCATGATGGGTGCATATTACACTAGCTGGGAGAAATTGTGATTGCGTGTTGCTCCTTATTCCAAAACCACTGAAATTTTAATAGACCTTATCAACTTGCACCACTCCAGCCCAGAATTATTCATTTCATTGCATATGTATGCACAAGCTATACATCTTGCAGATGCAAGTAAGTGTTCATTCAATGCTGTCACGGCAGAATTCCTGAATATTCATTCAGATGTACATCTGACTACATCACGGTGTACAAGCACACAATGCTGGTTTAGCTCATTAGCACGAATATCGGGGTTTCCAGTAGCCTTCAAAAGGATAAAGTCCCTCTAAGCCCAAGTTAGTGTCAATCTTCGGCAAACCTGCGTGGAATATATCTCACCATTCGCATTAATTATTCAACCGACGTGACGGCAGCAGCATGGATACGTTCTGCATGCTGCTGTCGTCTCTCACAAACAACCAAAGAAGGGGGGCGGGTGGGGTTGAGGTGTGGAGGCAGGAGTTGGGATTTATTGTAATGGTCCGCTAACAAAGGTAGAGGCTCAGCTGGCCCACCATACACATCAGAGCAAAAGATTAGTCACTCGCTAAGACTTTGCTGGCACATTTCATGTTTCTTTTCCATTGGTATTTAAATTTGCAACTCAGCCTGAGCTAAAAGCCTCTGAAATCATCCACGTGTTAAAGTCATATTTTGGTTTTCCGGAGGGAAAGAAATTATTAGGAATACAATGTGCTTCTGCATATGACCCCCCTCCTCCAACCAGTCCAAGATGATATTTGAATAAAATGACAGGCTTTGGGATTTCTTTTTTTTCCTTTACTCTTTGTTCCTCAAATTATGCCCTTAACTCAGGAAAGGAAACTCAGGAGATTTGTATCCCAGAGCTCTGATTTTTGCTAAATTTGATGCAGGTTCATCTCATATCTGATTCAACATCAGCCAAATTTCTCAAAATGCTAAACCAATATCAACACTTTTTTTTTTAAGTCAGAACAACTGCAAACACAAGGCCACCTTTGTCTTTTTAGTTTAAAAAGCCCAAGGTGAGGGGTTTTGTCCCTCCCTTTAAATGATCAGCTGTGCATGAAGTCGTATGAAGATCATCTGGAATAAAACTAGACCCCAATAAAATGTCAAGGCCTTCCTACTCATAAAGTGGCTGAAACTGATCATCACCTGCCAGGCCTGCAGCGCATGAGCAAGGGGGAAAAAATGTTATTATTCCACTGATTATTCAATGAGCTCGTATGTGCTCACACTTTCCAAGGCAAGTGCACATTATAAGAGTACAAGTACATGGGGGGAAAGAGATTACATATTGTTAAATAAAACAAATGCTTTCTTGCTGAATTACTCTCAGGGCTTTGAAACCTAATTTAGTTTTTAGGGTTTCGGTTGCTGCTTCGCTCCACACCAATCTCCACCCTGCACTCTGCGACTGCTGCTCTAGAAGAAGAATGAAAAGCCAATTCGAGTTTAAATGAATAAAGCAAGCAGGACGAAAAACAAAGAGAGATGGACAAATTCAGGGCCGTAATTGCAAAGTAAAAGAGATGTGAAAAAAAAATAGAGGCTGGCTGCAGAGTACTCTAGTGCCACCCTGTGTGCGCTGAAACGACTACACCATCACATGTTTTTTCAACATGGATGGCAGGATATATTTCATTCTAGAAGAGTAAGTCAGAACAGAAAGGAGGGTCAATTTGCATAAAAACTAGTCCTCTAAAATAATTAATGCCACCACTTTGGTATGTCTGAATCACTTTTCATGGAAGAAGATATACAAAGGCTTAATCCCAGCAATACAAAACCTGAGTAATGGGCAGTGACTTCTCATGCTCTCATGGAAGTGCCCTTTTTTGAAAAACAAATTCCTCGTCCTTGTGCTCCTGCACACATGCAAATAGGATGAGCCCGGGTGTTTTCCACCACCTGCCGTGATTTACATTCCTGGTTTGTTTGGACCCATCATACTCTAGCCATCGGCCAAAAGGGTCAGGGGAGGTAAAAATGCTCCAGACATAAATAATGTCTGTTTAACCCGTATGCAACCGGCACACCGAAAGGGGCAGATCCCTCCGGTGTTTATTCAAAATCCCTGGAACGTCTGGAACTACTGACGGGGACATTTAAAGAAAGTGCGCCCTGACAGATGGGCTCCAAACATTATCAACGGAGAGAGTGAATGTCAAGCGGAAGAGAAGTGAAAAATGAAAAGTGTGTTGCTGACCTGATGTGAATACTGCTGCTGTGACTCACCTCCAGCGGCAGTTCAATAAGGCTATGAATGTGTGGGCTGAAAGAGTCATTTATATGTTTACTGGATGGCTCTTTTTTCAAATTATTTTGGCCTCGTGCCCACAGAAGTCGATATAAAACCGGGGTCAACCAGGTTAAGCTGTGTGTGCAATATATCAATTTCTCAAAGCTAACAAGTCTGCATGGAGGTTTGAAACTTTGGCTGTTTTTGAAATGCTTTAACTTTTTATATGGATTTTTGAATTGTTGTTATTTTTAAAGATCGTCCAACCTTTCCATTGTTGCAGAACTAGCTGTTCTGCAACAAGGTGTTCTTTAGTATGCAACCAGATGTTCTTTATTGTGCAATACCCATCAGGTGAATCCTAATAAAATTATGTTGACTCTTGATTCGACCCAAAGTTTCATAAATATGTTGACTTATGACACTGTCTTATGACAGTCAATCACAGGGCAGCACAGAGACACACAACCATGTACATTAACACTTTTAGGATCAATTCAGACACACTTCTTGACTGAATATGCATGAACTGGGATGGCAGGAAGCTAGACAACCCGAAAGACTACCCACACATACACATGGGAGCATGCAAAAGAGGCCCCCGGCTGGGATTTGAAACAGGAAATCATTGCTGTGAGCTGACATCGCTGACCATGATGGTTTTAGTTTATGATACTTTTAAATAAGAATTATTTCAATCAGACACAGAAGAGCGCTGATAAATATAAAATACTATGTTTCCATTCTCAAATAGTAATTTAAAAGAAAATAACTGAAAGTGCATCCCTGCATTATATACTGCACTGTCCCTTCTTTCTTTTTTATGTTGTTTTCCAAGAATCCATCCTTGTAATATATTACAATGGTCTTGAGCAATAGACCTCCAGCCTTTCTAAAGGCTTTTCAAACTTTTTCTTTAAACTGTGCGTGCTTTTTTATTCGCTTTACGGTCCAGTACTGGTACCTGACCATTTTCAGAGGAAAACGTTAATTAAGTTTACCAAATAATGCAAACTGCTGTGTCCATACATTTCAGGAAACCATGCAAAGACCAGCTATAAACTGTGTCTTTGGTTGGTTTTGCTACCTGCACCCTGTCGAAAGACACATAACATGTTCCCACTTCTTTAGTTTTACGGACTCAGAAGTCCCTTCTGAAACGAACACATTGTGTTGACAAGAAAACAGTGAAAAATGGACAGGTTGAGGTGAAGGCCCAAAAAACTATCTGCATTGTATCAGTGTATTCTGATGGAAATGTCCTAAAAAAGAAGATACAGAGAGCTGCATCTGGACTTTTCCATTGATCCACCAGCTGTTCGCTGAAGCTGGCCCAGGAAGCCATTCTTAGGGATGACAGGTTTTATCTGGGGGGGGGTAATCCTACCCAAAGCCCAGACGGCCACTTTAATGAAGTAGTGTGGGATCATCCTGACAGAGAACTGAACAAAAGTCAACCGACATCCAGAAAAGAGCTTTGTAATGTCCCTCAAGAGGCCTTGAGAGCTATTCTTGAAGACTGCTGAAAGAAAAGACGGAAACTTGTCAGAGTTGGCTCTGACTGTCTCGGAAAATAAAGCTGCTTAGACCAAATGCTGACATTTCAAAAATAGCACAAAAACTCTGCTTTTACACCATGTCCGTTCATCTTTCTACATGTCAACAAACAACCTGGCCAGTAATGTAAAAATAACGAGAAGTGGCTGGATTTTTGCACATTACTGCATAAAGCATCAAGAAATGTGAAATATTCCTAAAATTCGGTTCAGTCAGTGACTTTATGTTTATATACTGCGCCCTCCACTCGAGTGTTTGCATTTAAGGCTCTTAACTTGCTGACAGTGAAGATGAGCCCCAGAGGTTGAATAATCTGTGACATATTAGAGATTTCCGTCACGATGCTCCAAGGTGTCACAGGCAGCGTATTAATAAGTCAGAGCTCGCTCGGGCTCCTCTCATTTCTGAAATGCAAATCGCAGGATGATGATTCCTTTTCTTAATAGTCTTATTTGTTTACAGCTATTTGCTTATGGTTAGGACCCTTTCCCAGAGCTTCCTGATCATCGGTCATTGGTGTAATTAAATCCCTTCTCATGTTGTGCTCCACCGCAGCGAGACATAATTCCTATCTGTCTAATTACACTTATTAAATAAATAAATAAATAAATGCTACACTTGGCACTAATTTTCCTCATCGAGCTGCGACAAAACTGAATGTTTGATCATCTGAATTGTTCACGCTCGATAGTTTGTATGAGATGGTATAGTTTACCCCCACCCCCTCTTGCTGTAAACACATAAATGATGACAGGTGGTAGCCCACAGATGAGGTCAGCTTTAATCACAGCTCTCTCTATTGCTGAGGTGTATCAGGCATGGTAGGAAGCCCTGGCTTCCCCAACAACAACACTTTGCATGCACATTTCCATATATTCCATTCATGTTGGGTGGGGGTCATTTAGATCAAGTTCAGTCACTTGACTCCATCTCCGCACAATCTCTACCCCATCTTCAGCCTGGCAGGAGCTAATCTCTGTCTCCCACTGTAGAGGACGAGGAGATGGCCATAAAGTGAGTTACTGCATATTTGATTATTGGGCCTTTACAATTTTCAGCAGGGAGCCAACTTAAAGCAGCCATGTGGAAAATGCCAAGGAGTGTTTCGTTCACTGTAAGTTTGTCTTTGCATTGTATTTCTTTCTGGATGGGATCGGAGCGTCGTCTCAAGGGCTCTTAATTCAATGCAAACGGGAAACCATAAGAAATGATACATTTGGCTGAGCAGCATGTGTTCACCTGATGTTAAGTTAAGAGATCGTTAGACTAGTGATAGATCTTGATGCTCTTTTCAAGGGTAGATTGTGTTGCTTTCCCAAGGATCCTCTGGAGGATGTTGAGACTTGGGGCGAGTCTGTGGATAAAGTCCTCAGCTGCAAAGGTGAGCCCTTCTCATTCCACCTTTTTCACTGTATGCATAAGAACGCGTGTGCGCACCTCTCTCTGACTGTCGTGTGTGAAATGCAGCTGGACAGATAGCTTTCCGCGAGTTCCTAAAGTCCGAATACAGTGAGGAGAACATCCTTTTTTGGCTTGCCTGTGAGGAGTACAAGAAAATCAAATCGGCCCCAGAGATGATCTCCTCGGCCAACAGGATCTACTCAGAGTTTGTGCAGACGGAAGCACCCAGACAGGTAAAAGGGAAAAGATAAGAAACAAATTCACATTTCATGATCTCTCATGGTCTCTCTCTCCAGTGAGGTAATAAATGTTGAAATTCACTTGTCCGATGAGATTGTTTCCCTTCAGAACATGACAGCGAGTGATGATTAAAAGAGCTGCTGTAACGCTGCTCTGGGCCATATTGTTTGATTCCAGATCAACATAGACTGCGGCACCCGAGAAAACATCACAAAGAACATCTCCCAGCCGACCCCGACTTCCTTTGATACGGCACAGAAGCTCATCTACAGCCTGATGGCCAGAGATTGCTACCCGCGCTTCCTCAAATCTGACATGTATCAGGGACTCCTGAAGAAAGCCGAGACAAGGTGACTGTATTAAAGCCGACGGCCTCTCAGACAGCGGGCTCGGGAAATCTTCCGTTCCTGCTCTGATCTGCTGTAGTGCTCTTTGATGAAGTGTGGGTAACAGGTTTATGCCACGCAGTTCATATCTTAAATATATCAGATGTAGTGTTTTGGGGTTGTCGTTTTTTTTTCTCCCTTTTTTTCTCAACCTCTCAACCTGTGTGATTCAGTAGTCAATTCCAGTCGGGGAAAACTTGTTATCTTATTTGTAGACACATTTATCCCAAAGAGATTATACACTGCCAGCTCTGCCTTAAAAAAAATATTTCCTCATATCTAACTCAAAAGCCTGTAAACAGAAAGAATTCATCCAATTATTGTAAAGTATTATCAACACTGTAATTGATTTTTTTAAACATAATTGTTCTGCCTAATCTATCTCTCATGTGCAAATAAATATCTATCTATATCTGCGTTGGGTTTTATTATCTGTTTACGCTGAAGTTTAAAAATATCTTTAACTAAATATACTCAGCTGGTTGACACTTGGGTTTGGTCCTTTTGAATGTCATGCAAATCCTCGCTGCCGCTGTCAATACTCTGTAATGGAGCCCAGAGGCACTGAAACACCAGGTGGCAACAGTGTACTTACCACCGAGGTGCAGAGGGGCAAAAAGCAGAGCTCATTAGCTCCTCTCACTTTGTATGTCAGCAGCATCTCAGCTGAACTCTGAACGTGTGTATGTGAATAAGACATGCATGAATTGCCTGTAACCACCGGCACAGGTCGGTGGGGAATGCCACCTGGCTCATTTCCGAAAACCACCCGAGAGAATTCAAAGCGCAACTTTAAAATCGGATGTGAACTAAAAAAAAAAATCCTTTTCTGAATAATACCATTAATCTCGATCTTCCGCTCCCATCGAAATCGAATAGGAGACGAGCTGAGGTGAAAGGTCTGGGTTCGTATTGCATCACACGAGATGATATCAGCTTTGTTTTCATGTGTCATTTCTGCTCTGGACATGAGGAAGAGCTGACGTTTCAGTCAATGCAAAAAACATGCAAACACTACTACTTTTACGCATGATGCCCTGGTGGAAAAACACCGGCTTGGCTCTCACAAAATGTTCATTCGAGGGAGGAAAACATGGCCCCCTGTGTAGAAGCCGTGGTGTGCGAGTTTGTCCCTGTTTTCTAGGTGAAAGTAAAAGTAGACTCAAATTGGTTTCAGTCAGTCAGAACATTTTGTTCATTTGATACTGGAATGGTGGCTCTGCCTATTCAGAATGTTTGTTTTAGAAAGCTTGTCCACGTGTTTGGCAGACGTTGCTGTGTGCTGTGCAGACACCTCGCCACAACTTCCTGCCATGACTCTGGTTGCACTCACCTCTTTGTGGGAGGACAGTTGAATTAGTTGGGAGCAGTTTTTTAGTTTTTTTTTTAATGGTTCGACATACTGTCTTTTTTACAATCTTTTTTATTATTTCTTGTTGTGACAGATAAATGTGCTGGCCAGCAAAGTTAAAGCAAATCATATGCAGGCCGTAAATTAGATCTGAGCCTGTCAGACACTGAGCAGAGCTGTGGTCGTCGGCATGACAGCAGCAGAGAGCGGAAATTCACAGACGGGTATTGCAAATGATAAAGAAAACCGATAACGCTTAATATCACCGCTGCAAGTCAACAGCGCTTGCGTTGAAACACAACAACTTTTCCCCTCATACGCACAAGAAGGTTGACAGTGACACAAGTTATTGCTCACCACTGAAAGAGGTCTGTTGTGTTTGCTTGACCGCCTCATTTGGGTTTTGAGGTTTGCGTAAGACGTGGAGCGGTAAGGGCTGCGCAAGCAGTTTGGTAGCTTAACTTTCACAGGTTGAACCTGATATACCACAGAGAGAAAGAAAGAACTTTATCGTGTGGGTTCAGTTTAGCTTCTTGTCCTGTCAGCAACCCCTGATTTTCACATGTTTTACAAGTGAAGTAGAAGCATTTACAGGGAGATGCTGAGTTGATGCTGAGTTGATGCTGGTCAGCATCGTGTCTGATTCTATTGTCACTCAGCTTACTCTTGATTTTGGTCCAAAAATTGAAGTTTATTACAGATTTAAACCCAAAAGCAGAATAGAGCAGTGGAATTAAATGCAGTCGGTTAAAAGAAAAGGATACCCAGTTGATTGAATGAGTTAGTGTCAGTATTTTTGTCATTTTGCTGTTACTGACTAACTTGTATTCAATGAATCCTGACCCTCATGACCCTTCATTACACTTTTGTGATCACAAATTACAAAAACGGTGACGATCACAAGAGACTGTAAAGGCATTTTATTCATTTTATCATAACATTATTTACATTTTTTGTAATGCTAAGCTACAGAAGCAATGAGGTTGACCGAGTTAGGAAGTGAAAACACATTATGTTTATATGTAACCATGGCAACCTTTCAAACGTTGTTGGTGGTAGTGATTTGGGGCTTTTTAAGCCCTAATCATAATCTACAATCCTTACATGAAGCGTCAAAGGGTAAAAGAACACAGATATTGACAAAGGTGTTTCAGTTAAGATCAGATATGGTGGGAACACAACTCAGAGGTCAAGTTAATCTTGAACTTGTGTCATGAATGTGTAAACGACTGCAAACAATCAAGTTACATCAGCGTCCAACACTTCCACCCTCCCAGGAATTAATAGCTTGCTGGGGCGTTTGCCAACCATTTTCACAACATGAAGCAAATCTAAACAGACAACTGCGTCCACAATGAAGAAGAATAAATGTATTAAAACATTTTAAATCCTGTATCTATGTTCATTGTTACTTCCACTGGTGGCTACGTCTGTGTTCGGTAAATCCATGTCGGGGTTGTTATGGAGATCAATCTTTAACCCTGTCATTTTCTGGTCAGCCAAGTTGATTTAAACTACAAACATTAGGCTGTATTTAGGACATTTTATTCAGCCGTTTATGCAATTTATAACCATCCCTCAGAACTTTGACCTTTTTTTCCATCCTTTTTTTCCACCTTTTTTTTCACCTATTTACACCAAAGTTACAAGTGGATAAAAGTCATAAGGCCAAAAGATCCTTTTCAATGGATTTAGTGAGAGTAGAAATCATTGAAGGCATGTGAATGAGTGAGTTTATCATCCAGTACTAATGATAATTACAACACTGTGACCATTATGCTCCATCAGGGTCCATTAATGGGTGAAATAAATATTCATTAAACACAAGTAGATCGTATATGGCCGGTTGAAACTTATCTGTAAAAGGTTGCAGAGAGAGCAATTTTAAGGAATTCTGTGAGAGTTAACCTTAAAAATGATAAGTGGAAAGGGATTAGGGGTTAATAAGGATGCATAGACCACACTGAGGTTAGATATCATCATTACAATAATATTATTACATTATCAATTATTGGAAATATTGTTTTTAATTGGTTATGTGACTTCACCACTGGCTGGCTGTATCCAGGGGGGGTAAGAATCCCTTATCATTTAACCCTAGCGACGTCCCTGAGAGCCATTGAGGATCTTCTTATGCGATATACTCTCTCGATATATTAGAAAAAACTCAACTGAGTAGTTTGTAATGTGTGAAACATCAACAAAGGAGTGAGTGCACGCTCCATCTTCATATCTGGTGTGTATGGCTGACTTCGGCCCTGAAAAAAATCACAAACCTTTGTGGAGAAAAGAGAGTATGAAGGTGCAAACGTGTTTATAACAGATTGAAGGTAATTATTTTCTTCTCAACAGCTGCTTTCACATATTTGCTCAATGTTGATATTTTTTGTAATGAATTACTTCTTTTTTACATGTCACATTCAGGGTCTGCTGCAGATTACATTCATAGATTTGTTTAATTGCATTTATTTCCTTTTAGGGGCATCTTAACCAGCCTTAACGACTGCATTTTTCATCGAGCTGCTTGAAATTCTACATAAGCCGCATTAAACACAAAAGGACTTTACAACTCTGTGAGAAATGGGACCATATAAACTGCAAATATGGGAGATAGATTTCCTGCAATCAAGATCTAGAGTTTGTAGAAAATGGACACTTTTTCCATCAGCAAGGGCTGTGTGTTGCTGATAGTTAAATTTTAAATCTTGCTAACATGGGGTTCAGGGCTATAAATGTTTGACCACCCCGAGGGTTTTTTTAGGAACATTGATTACACGTAATGAATATGAGTAGTTTGGTGACACTGAAGCTAAAGGATGTGATCAATCTCTTTCCAAAATGGCTTTTCAGAAGAAGTAAAAAAAACAACACAAAGTTAATAGTTGTTCCAGGAAAAAGAAGGGAGGAACTAAGGAACAAAAGTTGCCCTGGAACAATCACTTGGAAATTTCTGGTCACTTCTATGTTGAGCACAAGACTGAAACTGAGCTAGTGAAACAGAGGAACTACAAGTCAGCTGTACAAAAAAAATCTAATCAAAGGCCTATATTGTATTGGATGGGATTTCCATAAACAATTCAGAAGCCCTGAACAGTTTGAGAACACTTTGTAGACAAGAAAACAGGAAGTGAAAAGTAACACAGACTTAAACCTTGACACTTCCACAAGGAGCTTTTAACATGTGAGACAGCCACGGTGACAAGGCTCAACAACTAAGAGGAAGCTTTAAGTATATTTTAGCTTTACCCAACTGTGTTGAGCAACCAGGAAAATGATGAAAAGTCCCCCGTTTCACTTTAGCAGAGCAATAACTAGGACACCTCTTATTCTAAATATGATCAGTAGACTACATTTCAGTCTACAAGCCTCTGCCTAGTCTAAAATGGAAACACAGAGGGTGGCTTGGTGGTCTCAGAACCATACTAAGGAACCACAGCTTTCTTACTGTGGTTCCGTTGAATGACCTTTTTACATGTCTCACCCCACCGTCTCCCCCACTGTTTCCTGTCTCCCTCCACTGTCACAGATGCAAAGAAAAAAAATGCAAACAAGGCGTTGGATGGAAACAAAGACATTACAAGTGGAGCAAGTGCAGCAAAGCCGTGTGTATCCAAGACAATGTTTCTGGCTCAGGTTAAATGAAAAGAAAGAAAAATCCCACATTGTATTGCAGCCTTGCATGTCAGTAGTTTTTGTAGGCTGCATCAAGTTTTCAATTTCCTCTAAGAGCTTGTGCAAAGATAACAAACAAATCTTAAGTGCCTTGAGAAACCAAAGTGAAAGCTAATAATAATTTTTTTTTTCTCCACAAATCGGAGAAGAACATCTTGAGAAATGAAACCAAGCATCAGAGTTTAGTGGCTTACAGTAAATAGTGGAAGCATTTTAAAAGGAAATTTTCTGAGGTCTTCATGAAAAGCTGTGAATAAAACAAACAAAAAAATAAAAAACAATTCAGGGCAGCAAGATTGTTCCCGGTTCAAATCCCCAGGACTTTTATGTGTGGAGTTTGCCTGTTCTCCCTATGTCTGTGCGGGTTCCCCCCAGGTACTCCAGCTTCCTCGTGCATTTTAAGTTAATTTGACACCATAAATTGTTCCTAGCAGTGAATGTGTGTGGTTGTTTGTCTCTGTGTGACCATGCGATGGACTGTATGTATATATATGTATATATATTACCCTTTCCATGATCATAAACAAATGTTTAGATAGTTACAGATATGGTAGACAGGAAAGTGTTTTAAACTTTAAGCATTGTCCCTGAATTATGACCCTAACCTGGGTTACAGCGTTGAAGTTGAGAAACGCAGGCTTTTCACATATCTGCTGAAAACGAGGAAACATGTAGTCTACAGCAATGACCCGGAGTCAGAGTTGTTACTCGAGGCTAAATGTTGGACACAGATATGGGTGATATTTGGACCAAAAAATCCCTTTCCATGAAACCAAATATGAATTTAGACACTTTGACTCTCGCACAAAAATTCTGATTCCACCTCTGATCCTCAGGTTTGTTGTCTGTAAGCACCCTAGAGCCTTCATTTCTCATGGTCTTTTTTTTTTTTTTTGCTGGGCGTTCTTTCCTTTAACTTCACTATGTATTTGCCCAAGATCAAAATAATTTTTCTCTGCCCTGATGGTAGAATTGGTTCAAACAAAAACAAAAATACTGGGAAATTCACTTACTCTGCTTGACATTACAGATAAGCGCTCTTATTTCTTATTCTGTTCATTCTATTTGACTGTATACAGAAGGGCTCTAACTGCCTTAATGGAGCTCACAAAATGTTTCCAAACCCTGAAGCGGCACGTCTGCCTCTTGCAAACTAGCTCAGATAGTACAGCATTTGCCTATCTGCAACAAAATATTTTCCACTGTCCTATTTGCATCCACATACAATGCAGGTCTGAGTACAGTACGATCAGCTGTAAAGGGGCTCAACATGTCTGCTTGAATGTGAGTTTGCGTCATCTGCCACTTCCTCTTCTCTTGTGGTTGGTGCCGAATGACGCTGCTCACCATCCTCATTTCAGAGTTCTGCCCCACGCGCGTATATAAAAAGTGGCTCTGCGCGGGTTTGTCAGAGCAGTTTAACGGATCACACGTAAGTTTTGCCATGCCAAGCCTAGTCCAATCACCACCCATCGAGCCGCAGCCACATGGAATGGATATTGACGGCAAGAAGCAGAGAGGATACAGGTACACATCGAATCCGTTGCATGTTGCTGCAAATTCACTAAAGTTACGATTCCTGAGGTAACCCTTGTTGGTTTGCGTTTGTTTGACAAACTAGGGGAGGAAACACGAGGTGTCGGCTGCAGTGCAAATCTTCACAAGCGACTAAGACTGAAAGGTAATTTCAGAAGAAGAAAAAAACTCCTTTGAAAACTAAACCTTCCTCACTTCTTTGATGCAATATTAACTATACTCCCTCTTTTCGCAGGCTTCGTTTTGAGGAGATGTCTCAGTGGTCACATTCACTTGAAACGCTTCTCTCCTCTAAATGTAAGTTTATTCTTTCTTCTTTTTTTTCCTTCCCCGAACTCTCTCTTTGTCAGTATTCTTTCAAAACCATGGCTCCTGCTCATTTTTCCTTATCTTCCCAGTGGGGATTCAAATATTCGAGGCTTTCTTGAAGTCGGAGTTCAGCGACGAGAACCTGGAGTTCTGGATTGTGTGTGAAGACTATAAGAAGATCAAGTCTTCCTTCAGGATGACCTGCAGGGCCAAAAAGATCTTCAAACGCTACATTCAAGCGGAGGCTCCCAGAGAGGTATGCACCGAGCTTGTTACAGTTCAAACAGACTCCAAGTTCACGGCACGCTTCCCTGCTGCTTTGTTTGTCCGTATTGCTCATCGAGTTTCTTCCATTTCCAGATCAACATCGACCAAAAGACCAAAGAGCAGATCAGGTGGAAGTTGAAGGTTCCCTCAGTGGAGTGTTTTGACGATGCCCAAAAGACAGTCTACAGACTAATGGAGAGGGATTCCTACCCACGTTTCCTCAAGTCGGATGTTTACAGGACCTTGCTGGACTCCGCATCAGAATCGCTTCGGACGTAAACAAAATACACAGCTAGGACCTTTAATGTGCAAAGGCTGGACTATAAGGCTGTGCACATAGTTGGACTACCTGAGTGGGGCTCCAGTTTATGTTTGCTGGGCAGGAACACAAGGCGATCAACACCATATTAAACCACAGGGAATTTCATAATACCGCCCTTCACAGTTTGAGAATACTTTGGACTTTGCCATGCCTCGTGTGACTCTCTTGGAGACGGCCAGCTTCTGTAGCTGACTCAAAAGCAAACGGCGTGCTAGGAAACGATGTGCTCAGTTTAAAATGACTTTGCAGGAGCTTATTAATGCGCCGTAAAACAAAGGACTTCCCACGGATGCTATGATGTGCAATGAGAATGCTGGGGACTTTCTGTTAGTGAGGTCAGAAAATGCATGCGGTGCAAGAAGCACAAGCCACCCAAGATGAATGAGTGCGAGCTACATTGGCACTTCATCGAGATGCTACGATTTCTTTATGCTCGGCTTTGAGTATTTGCATTCTGACTTCAGCCCTGACACAGTGAGATGATACAATACAACTGTAAGGAACTATCATAAGCTATATGCTGAAAATGTAATCCCGTGTCAAAATATTGTGAATGTAAATATTGAAATGGATTTGTGTCACATTAAAAAGATCAATAAAAAACTGGTCCCAGAGTCAAGTGATTTTGAATGAACAGTGATAAAAATCTGCTCTTGTACGACGTAATGTCTCGGCTGAGGTGAATCTTCACAGACACATCGCCTACATCCTGGAAACTACTTAGTCCCCATATCAATCCTTTCTTTATCTCGTTCATTCATAACTCTCCCACACTGACAGAAAGCGCAACAAGGTGGTTTTCATATGAGCCAAAGTTAGTTGAAATGAGTTGGCCTCTTGTGCACACACCCACTGAAACGCCACCAGCAGGCTAAACCAAAGGATCCACAGGCACACGATATAGTTTCCATGCCAATGTTGGAAATTAATAAAAGCCAATCGGAAAAGTGGATATCGGTACAGTGATATAAAAAAATGAATAGACCAAACTGTGCTACAGCATCCATTTCTTCATTAATCCTTGAGTTTTTGTTTTTTAATATTATCTTGATATAGTAGAAAACACACCAACAGTTTTTGGTATGAGAACCAATAGCTCAAAAAGAGATCCTCCAACTGCTCTCATGTTTGCCTACTGGAAAAATATCAATGCACCAATTAGATGGCCGTGCTGAACTGGTAGCTTGTCTCATTTGACAGTGGACCACCTTAAATAAAAACCTGTTGATGAGGTTGCTATTAATAATTTCATCACTTTGAAAGGGACCGTCTTATTTGTGAATGGCTTTACTTTAAGTCAAAAGGGGCAATCAACATACCTCCACAATGCACTTATGGTTAGCTAAGCGCAACACAAACAGTGAATGAGAAGGAGCTAATGAAACATTAGTCCAGTCTTACAGAGCAATATTGATCCAGTTGAATTATGGCTGTGGAATTGAAGGTTGCATATTTTAAGTATGTTGAGGTTTGGTTAATCACCTGTATTATCATAGACAGCCTAGAGGAAATGTTGTGGTCATAGTAACTGAACACGGTGACATTGGTGGTGCCCTGTGCTCTCTATCAGTTGCATGAATAAGATTATTTTTTTCTTCTTTCCTCCTCCACCTACACAGGCTTGTTTATCCTCACATCAATCTCACATGTGTTACTAGTCTTATCTGGTTTTGAGAGGGTTTCCCTCCCTCCATTCAGTGGACCATTCACCTTTTAATCAACAAGAACATAAACTTTCTAATAAAGCAGAAAGTGTCAGAACCGAAACCGAATTTGCATTAAAACAAAAACACACAACCCCTCCCCCCGCCAAAAAAGTACACAAAAAAAAAGAGAAGGAAGTTTATATTTGAGAACAGGTCGGGTATCACGCTGTTAAAGGTTACACAAATGAAAGAGGAAGTGTTCAGGCCCAACTGTCTCACCACATCCTTTTTAGCTCATTTTGCATCTTTGAATGAGCACAGGCGTACACAGGCGGATAGAAAAGTTAGAAGTACAGTGAAACGGTTCCAAATCGCCTCATCTACTCTCAAAACAAAACTGTCAAAACCTTTGAATAAGTTATAGCTATAACAGCCCCAAAGCCCTCTCATTATTTGCCAAAGTAAACCCTCAGCAGGTTTAGCAAATACTGAATACTCATATTTCATTTTTCACATTGGTTGTTTGTGGCCTATTAAATAAAATTACTAATTTCACCATAAGACTGGATGCTCGACATAACAGACGTGTCTTAAAAACACACATCCACTGTCAAATACCAATAAATCGACTGAGACTACATTTATGGGGCTTTTCTAACTTGCTAGTTTGCTCTCACGTGTTACATTAGACAGGAGTCATCCTCCGGAGTCACGTGTTCTGTGTAGGAAGCAACTGGGGCGCCGCTCAACAAGTTCAACCGGTTTCGGCTCCACTTTCATTGCAGGTAAAGGCTTTTTCCAGCATGGAAAGTTTTGGATCCAAGAATGGATTTTGGATTTCCAGCATGGAAATCATTTCAATATGGTTGCAAATATGGTTGCAAATAAATTCTTTAATAGTATAATGATATAATGATAACCTCAGATGAAGTTAACCAAATGAAGTGCTCTCACAAGTTGAAAAAAATAAATAAATAAAACACATGCACCTTAAAAAAGATCAGGTGCTAACCGTCAACAACTCCGAGTGGCCGCGTTGCAATTAACTACGGTCCCCATTAATGCTGGAATGATGACGGTGAAGCATTTTATCAAAGTCATTAAAAAGTGATGAAGTAAAGCATCTGGCTCAGTTAAGGAACCCTCTAGCTTTATCTGGGTCAGATGTGGTCCACAGGTCATTAACTAAGCTTTCATTTTGGGTACCGCTGCGTACTTTATGTTGTCGCGAGGGAACCAGGTGTCAAAGCCATTTTTGTAACTGTGAGTGTCCTGAAGGCCAGGTGTGGCCTTAAAGCCAGAGTAAAAAATAGATCTGGGTTCAGCCTGGAAGATAAATGAGTGCAGTTTTGGCATCACTTAGGGGAAAACTGCCGATGTGGGCGTGGATGTCGAGACGTTTATATTTGGATCCAAGCATTGGCTAACCGAGACTTGGCCCCAACTGAACCCTACTAACATAAAAACTGGTTAAACTGAAAACAGGACAGACTACATGCTAATGTATCTATGATGAATTACATAGAAGAGTATAAGTTCTATTCTTATGCTATTACCAAGTGCACTGTCAGTTGATCATAATATATTTCATTAGCATCGTTACCGCCAAGGAATTGTAAAGAAGATTGTAATGTCTTTTTGGAATGCATCCAAGAAAACCTGGGAAACTAAACAAAATTTTAAAATACAATTCTTTATTAACTATAATTCATTCACATTTCCCCTTGTTCAGCAGAAGGCATTATTTTAAGGGAATGCACGACAGTGATGGCGCCAAAGCCCATTTCTACGAGAAGGATTCAGTTCTTTGACAACCCCAGTCTTAATCCAAGTTATTACACTTTGAAAAACAACTGGTGACCAGATGTCACAAGTATTTATTTCAGGGGTCACAGGATAAAAAAAGTTCTCTTTTTTGCACACATAGTAAAAAGGGTTTCGTGTATGAAGCAATATATTATAACAAAAACTACAGTGAAAACTAAGATTGCAAACCGTTTATTCTTAAGTCAGTGATTTTACTTTTTTGTTCTAACTTTTTTAAGGTAATTGCTCACAGTTTCAGTTTCAGGCTTCAAATTTGGGTCGGAGCTACTTCCCACTGGTAATGCAAGCCACATTCATCAACATTCTGTTCTTGTTTCGTCTCCTTGTTCAGTCTTATGAGTTTGTCTTTCAGGGGCAGCTTTCAGGGAATGGTGTGGTTATTTTTCGCTTTGAATCTATCCCAATTCACCTAGCTTAAATGGCAAAGTCTCATTCGACGAACTATTGAACCCACATTGCTCCCTTTCCACAAAGAGTTTGTTACTCGTGAGCTACTTTCATTAAATTGCTACTAAATTGAGGCCCTCTCCCATAAAATGAACTGCTTTCTGCTTTGGATCTGCAGAGCCCCGACCCCTCACGACAGTGAAAAACGATCATCTGTGGGTTTATTCTCTGATGGCCATGTGGTAAACGTGAAATGTTCCGTTTGTAACTGCGATGATCTGAATTAAAATACGATTAAATCTTTGTTGTTTATCCAGAGATATTGAACAAAACAGAAGGAGATTTGTGTATAATCTTTTTACATATAATTTCTAAGAGAGCAGTGCGATATCCCATCAAAATACTAGGTAGTACATGAGTTTCCAGACTTTGATTTTTCACAGATTGTTCATAAATTTGTTCCATAGAAACCTTGGTTTTACAACTAATTAAAAAGTGTGACATTATTCCAAACATTTGTCCCATAGACATGCATACTTGTCTGATAAAGGATCTCCTTTTCAAGGGTTTTTCTCCATGCCACTGGGGCTGGTATCTATAGCCAAGGTTGGCTGTTGCTGACTAAAAGGAAATTAGGCAGAGCAGTGTGTTCTCTACATCCTGGCACCAAGACAGGTCATTGTTTGAGAGTTTAAGTATGAGCACACCAGAAATTAATACGATATGGCAGAATCTTGATATAATTCATTCCCCGGCAAAATAAAAAATGTTAAGACAACCATTTAGTATAATTATGTAGTATTAAAAGTAATTAAACATTATTTGTGACCATTGCTCTGACACACTAGGCTCTTCTGATTTTTATACCATAAATACCACACAACAGAAATAAACCATCCTGTGTGTGAGGGGGTTTCTATTTGTAAATGAGAGAGATGTTAAAACGTTTTTTTATGCAAAATGGTCACCACAAAGGCTACATATTTTCCCTTTGGCCAGTATGAGCATGGTAACATAAACCCCCACTTCTCTGAAAACTCTGATCTATTTTGCCTATATTTTGAGGTAGAAGTCATTTGGCCAGGACGAATTTCTGCTATCGCTTTTTTGTGTGACGCCAAACAGCAAATGTCAGCATGGTCAAGTGCAATAATGAGAGAAATGAGGTGCACGGCCTCTCTTGAAATTATTTTTTGTTGTTGTCACCTTGTTCTTTATCTCCTTTTTATTACTCTACCGTCAAATACTGTGACAGGAACTGGAGCAATTGCAGAGCAAGTAGGTCAGTTTCACTGCAGTTAAACATCTGCATTTAGAAGCAGTTTTACATAATATGGGTGTAAGACGAGTTTATTGCATTTCATAATGTAGGATTTTGGTTGAAATTACTAAATTAGTCATTTTCCACATGTCAAATCAATGTAATAATCCCTTAGCATAGCAGCTGCATCTTAGAAGAAACTATAACCCACCCCATCCCCCCCTTTTTTTTCCATCGTACTTTCCAATCTACATCCTCTTCACATTGATGCTCCAAATATTATATAAAATCTTCTCTCTATATACTTACACAGCAGTGATGTGTTGATTATAAGACCTCAGTTTATCCGTGACATCCGAATAAAGACCCTCTCTCTGGTCCAATTTGACGTAAACTCAGATATTGCATAAACCCCCTTAACAATCTCCCTCTGTCATTTTCTCATTTGTGCTGCTGGATTCAGCCATGTTCCCTCTGTAAGTGTTCAGCCCTACTTGAAAATTAAAACAGATTCCTGTGATTTTTGATGAAGTGATCAAAGCATTTCTCCACCCAGTGATTGCTCTGACTCAGTGGAACTGCGCTGAAGTATGACAGGAATAGCATCATTGAGATATCTGAGGTTTGCTTCATTAAGCTATCCGATGTTTGGTTCAAGAATTGTTGCAATACACTAATACTACAGGTATGATATGCAACAGAAACAGAATATTTTACTGGGTCATATATCTATATCTATATATATATATATATGGGTGTATACTGCAATTTTCACACAGTAGATGGAGGAAAGATTTGTAAGTGATGAACAGCCAGAGGGAATACAAGTTAAAAGAAATCTTTGCAACTAAGAATAGCATAGACCTGAATGGTGAGTTCAGTGACGTTACGGCTGATTGACTTTTATCAGCATTTAAGCATGGAGAATGTGATGGGTGGTGACACAAAGCAGCATTTTGTTCTAAAAATAAACTACAAGGAAGCATACATGGTTTGACGTAAGCTAGGCCCTCCTAAGAATCTTTTTAAAGAATGAAATGGGCAGCGGGCTCGTACGGGGCTGTGCCGACAGCCGAATCTAAGGAAGAAGCGTTATGTTTCGTCATCACAGACTGTTTCCACTCCGAACCCCTCAGGGAACCGGCACATTCAGGAGGTGAGGCCCTGAAGACTGAGATCAAATTGGAATCTAAGGAAAATTCTTCAGAGGATTCAGAGCTATTGTTTAAACTGACAGATGCTTTCAAGTTATGATTCACCCTTAGAATAATGCAATCCAGTTCAGCAACGAATGGGCTCTCCAAGTCATCGCACATGGACCTCAAGGGCATGAAGGGAATGTAAGTGCAGTATATTGCATTTGCAATACAATGAGGCGTGCCGAAGGGTATTAATTCCACCCTCCTGGGACATTTACACAGTTGAAATATTCCAACTGTTATTCACTCTTGTGGAGATAGTGCACGGACATCCGGACTGTATACCTTCATGCAGAATCCATTACCATGCAGGAATATCAGCAGGCATTTTTTTTTTCATTTCTGTTTACAGCATACTGACATGTATTTGGATGTTTTCTTTGAAAGGGAACAAATCCAAAGATAATCGGTTTTCTCTTGTTTGCAGGCAGAAAGAAAAAGAAACAAACTTACTGGGAGAATCTCTCGAGACCTTCCTCACCAAGAAAAGTAATTTCTTGCTGCTCTGAAGAAGTGCAAATCTAACGCCTTGGTTGTTTAGTGCTGTCTTTCATGATAAAGTCATATTTTCTTGTGTAACAGGAAGACAACTTGTGTATTGGGAATTTCTTAAGTCGGAGTTCTGTGAGGAGAACCTGGACTTTTGGCTTGCTTGTCAAGAATTCCGAACTTTGGACTGTCCAGAACAACGAACAAAGAGTGCAACCAGAATCTATGAAGAGTTTATCAAGGATGACTCTCCCAGACAGGTGAATGCAGTGCCTAGAAAGGACATAATCAGTTTGAAAGAGTTTGATATATACTCATGCACATGTTCAATCTTGGCAGGTAAATCTGGATTTCTACACGAGAGAAAACATTCGGCAGAGCCTCCAGCAACCTACTGCATCGTGCTTTGCTGTGGCACAGGGGAAAATCTACAGCCTGATGAAGGATGACTGCTTCCCACGATTCATTGAGTCCAAACACTACAAAGTCCTTATTGATGAAGCTTCTAAACAGAGGGGAATCAGGAAACATCGTGTGGCCGTGAGAGTAAAGTCCAATGGAGATGATCTGAAAAGTCAACGGGCTACAGAAGGACCTCCTTCTCATGAAGAAGCAGTGAAATGCTGCTGTGAGAGTAAGGAGCACATGCATAGAGCGGCAACCGGTGCAAATGAAAAAGTGGACACGACCTAAACAGCTCTGGGTTTAAAACTGGGATACTTCCCATTGAGACCGTCAGCATTGTGAATGTAAACTGCTTTAAAAAAATTTTTTTTTATTTTTTATCATGAAGCCATGCAAGTGTTCCTTATTTAAGTTTTGGGATTCAACCCAGTTTCTGAAAACTTCAAAAGACCTTGTTCTATGTGCATGATGAAGGCAATGCAACACCAAAGACTGCTCCTGAAACTAAAACCGTGAGTGCTTCTATAGCTGTAAGCAAAGCGCACCCTGTCTGCAGCTGATGCAGTATTGCCACCCAGAGGTGACCAGTAGGACTCACAGGCAAAAAAACAACAACAAAGAAATATTATTTAGACAAGCGGTAACACTGACTGAATGGAGGTTTACTATCGAACTGCGAGTTTTTACTTGTCAGGTATGGTACATAATGTATCAAATGCAATACTGCTCAGAACTTTCCACTATCTGTTCTTAATATTTTACTTCTGAGGATCCAAACTCAGTTTGTAAGCTGCTAAAGTGCTCGTGGCCAACGGTTTTCCAGGACTACTGAGAGTCATTCAGTTTATTTTTCTTTAGACAATGACTGCTTTTCCACCAATTGTTCAGTCCAGTCCTTTCACCTGCTTATAACAAACTGTGAGTATTTCAAACGTGAGAAAATATGACTTTGTTAAAGAATGAAGGTGTGTGTTTACACCTGACAAAGAACAAGTTTGCAAATTTTTCAATAAATTGCTGCACTTATTCTCTCTTCTCCCAGCAGTAAACTAATATTGTTTTAATGCTTTTTCTCCTTATTCTACATGTAAAAATGTTTTTTGAACAGTTCTTATAAACTGTAAGACTGAGCTGTAATTTCCTCAAACAGTCAATTTGAAAAATGTTGATTAAAATACTATGACTAAGTGGCTTTTCCAGTCCAGCTACTGATTCTTTGAATATTTGCCTGAGTGAAGCAATCCACCATTCTTTTGAGAACTCCTCAACATCCTTCCTGTCCCAGCTCATTGCATGTTCATCACTAATCTGTTCTTATTCTAATCTTTTATGAAAACAGCGATTAATGTTTACAGAAGAGCAAGACGTGGTTGGGGAAACAAGAGGAGAATAGGTGGCAGAACTCTGAAATCAGCAGTGATGTAGGCAGGTTCAATTTTAGACTGCATGTGACAAGCAGATTATTTTTGATCAAATAAGGATCTGTAGAATAATTGAATAATTGAGACACTAAGATATGATACATGTAGATTCATACGTATTTAATGTTTACATTTTTTATTAATTTATTTTCAAAACATAGCTAGCATAAATAGCGACATACATAGATTAAGATACCGTGCTCGTGGTTCAATAAAAAAAAAAAACTGTTTGAAAAAATCCTTTCGGATGCTAAAGTGCTCGTGCGGGTGCGCGTGAGTCGTTTTGCTGTTCGGGAAGCTACGCGCGCGCGCGCACGCACGTGAGCATCTCTGTGACGGTATCCCGGCATCCATCGCGTATCCGCCCCTGGTGAACTCACCGACTGTCCGAGCCGAGGGCAGGCCCCGCCGCATCAAGCGAACACCAAAACCTCACCCGGGCGCATTTATATCGCGGTAAGCGCGTCCGTTATTTGCCTAACCATGTGCAGTATTAGTTTTTCTTTTAAAATTTACACAACGAATATTGTCAAAAAATTAATTTAAATAAATACATAAAAAAACAGCACTGTTGTTGTAGGGCTAGTAAGTGGACAGCTACCCATCCCAAGCAGCATCACATCATCATGTAGCTCTGCTCTCAGGCTTTGCGATGTGCTCAGATCTAGAACTTCATAGATATTGTAAACATTACTAGACCGTGAAGTTTCCTCTGGGTGGCTTGCCGTGTTGTGTCACATAATTGCCGAGGCACTAGTTTAACCTTATCGACACCCTCTTAGGTTTAATTTAACTTCGCACCTCGCGCATTGTCCTTTTTTGCTAGCGCAACTGGTTGAGTTATTTAGCTTGACCGGGGAGTGCTAGCCTAGCAAAGGTTTGCTTGCTGTAACTGTTTGCAGCACTTAACATTGAGTGTTTCTGGGGTCTCTGACGGATCTGGTTTACAGATCAGCGTGGCTCCTTTTTGTCTTGTGTGTATCATCATGTCCTGTAATCGGCTTTGATCTATTTCAGTCAGAGCGCTGAGGCAGTGAGAAAGTAATGCTGCTAGCCAAATCAGCGCTGACTTGTGTTCCCTGAGGCTCTGCGGTTAATCTCGAAAGTTAACAGGTGCTCTGTGCTTTGCGACCAGTTTTTGGATGCATATCTAATTCCTTTCATCCGCCACAAAATTGGAAAACGCATCCTAAAAACATTCGTTAAGTTCCCAACTGTTGTCAACAAATTGTTTGTGGGTGGGGGGCGGTCCTATTCATTAGCATCAATGTTTGTGTCTGGAACAGTTTAAACTGACTGTAAACTAAATTTCTCATTGCTGCTCTTTTTTTGCTCCCAGGCCTTACCTTGCGTAACAATGGAGTCGTCAGGAAGCGCTGTGAGTAACCACGCCCTGGAGTCGACGGGTGGCGGCTGTCAGTGGGATGTCGGTGACAAGGCCAAACTCTGCCGCTTCCTCTGCTACGGCACCGAGGGAGACTTGTACACGGCCAGAGAGGAGGGCAGCGTGAGCTTGGAGAACGCCGGCGCGCTGCTCTCTTTGCTTCAGGAGGGCCGGGGCTCTGAGGTGGTGGAGGAGATCAAGAGGTTCTCTCAGGACGGCCGGGCCGTCCGACTGAGCACGGCCATTTTCGCCCTGGCACTGTGCTCCCAGCATTCCGAGCTGAAGACCAGACAGGCGGCGTTCAAGGCCGTGAGGGAAGTCTGCCGGGACCCTGCCCATCTATTTGCTTTCATCCAGTACAAAAAGGAACTGAAGGAGGGCATGAAGTGTGGGATATGGGGGCGCGCCCTGAGGAAGGCCGTGTCCGACTGGTACAATGAGCAAGACGCCATGAGTCTGGCTGCAGCTGTTACCAAATGTAAACAGAGAGGAGGCTGGTCGCACCAGGACCTGCTCAGACTCGCCCACACCAAACCAGCTAGAGACGGTGAGTTAGCAAACACCTGCCTTATTCAGAGCTACGTCTGGTAAACCTCCATCTGATCAAAAATGTTGACGACTGGGAATGGGAACTCGTGTTTTTAACGACTACTTTAAGATACTGATGTCCACCTGTTTGTGGTCCCAGCTATCGCCTTGATCAGCAAATATGTAACAAAGGGATGGAAAGAGGTCCAGGATGCTTATGCCGACAAAGAGAACTCGGAGGAGGTGGTCAAAGTGCTCTCATACCTTGAGGTGGTGGAGAAGGTCAAGCACAGCTGCGACGAAACGGAGGTCATCATGTTGATAGAGGAGCACAAGCTGGAGAGGGAGCAGCTGCTGACGGATCACCTGAAATCCAAACAGGTGAGAAGCTTTGATTTAGTTTTACACCAACAGTTTTTTTTCCTTTCTTTTTTTTAATTGCAAATACCCATGCTTAATTATGTTTTTCTGCAGGTCTGGAGAGCTTTGCTGAAGGAAATGCCCCTCCATTTAGTGCTAAAAATCCTGGGAAAGATGACGTCAAACAAAGTCCTGGAACCGGGAAGCTCAGAAACGGAGATCGTTTGTGACAGAATTCAGAGTGAGTCGGCTCTAAAGAAGGTACAGCTCCAAGCTATTGTCTAACAAATCGACCAAACCTTTTGCATTCTGACTTCTGAGCGTGGCGGTGATGAAATACATTTCCGACACCTCCAGGCAAAGATCCACCCTTTCAGCATACTTCTGGCGTCAGAAAACTACAAAAGAGGCCAAGGCTACCAGGGCAAAACCAAGTGGGAGCCAGACAGCGGCGTCCTTAAAGCCATGGACTCTGCCTTTTACAAGAGCTTTGCGGTAGGCGCGTTGGACGTGGCTTTCGTAGACCGTGAAGGAAGACGGCCGGCATGACGCAGACCGTGTCCTGTTCTGTCTGCAGAACGTGGAGCCCGTGGGCAAACGCTTCGTGGTGGCGGTGGACGTGAGCACGTCGCTGAGCAGCGTTGTCCCGGGAACGGCCATCAGCACTGCCGTCGCCGCCGCTGCCATCACCATGGTGAGGTCGCCTCACAGGCGGGTGGAATTTTCTCTGGAGTTGCCAATTCATCCTTCCTCCCTCTCTCCTACTTTTCTGCTTGGCTCAGATTTTTGCCCGAACAGAAGCGGAGGTAGACGTGCTGGCCTTCTCTGAGGGAGCCGTGGTCCCGTGCTCTCTCTCCGCTCACATGACACTCGCTGAGGCCACAGCTGAGCTGGTGAAGGTGAGCTGGTCAGTCCGGTGGAAAATGATGAATGGGTACTGCTCAGGTCACATTTCCACACGTGTGACTAAATCATTGTAGTTGTAATGACTCTTTTGCATCTCAAAGGCTAAATGGTTATCTGTAATTGTTCCCCTATAAAGATTATCGTGATTTTTTAAAATGACACAATACAGTGCGCACACATGAACAAGAAAAAGAAACGCATGTTTCTTTAATATGGTTTTATGCGACAGGACATTAAGAATGATGAAAAAAGCTTTGAAACGAGCTCAGATCTCAAAAAGTGCCAAATTACTTAATGTTTTTGGCCAAAATGCAACAGTAAACTAAGCAAACTCTAAGGAACCTCTTACTGATTCTGTTAGAGTGGAGGTAGATGTATTGGGCCTTTTTTCAAATTCACTTGAATTAAACCCCAAATTCAATATTAAATCTAAACATATGGAAGTTTGCTGGTCTGGAGCTCACAAGTGGGAAAACATTGGGGCCTCAATATAACGAGGGACCACCGTAAACCAATCGGATACATCTCGGATGCTACAGGTTTCAGCTGAAGTTGGGCCACACAAAGCAGCAAATGTACAACAGAAGGAAGAAAAGATTAAGTTCAGTTCATGCGGTGACCTAACTAAAGCATTAAGAAGGTAGTCTCTGTTTAGTAAAGCCAGTTCACTGCATATCATCATTGCAACTTCCGCGAGAAAGCAAAACAGCCTCCTGACCAATCAGTTGTGTCTTAGCAAGAAGAAGTAGGAAGAGGGTTTTCCGTCTAAATCTGACAATGAGTCAATGACCAGTTATACTGTTCAACTTCCACTCAGACACATCTTGATAAGAGATGAGTGAGGCAGATGGAATTGTTGTGTAACACTAAACAGACAAAGATCTCTCCAACACTTACGCATGCAGATTTTTTTAAAGATTAGAACCTGACGTTAATTATAAGAATGAAATCACCGGGTTATGAAAGATTTGCTTTTTTCTCTCGTGATAAATACATTGGCTGGGAACTCTTTCTTCCAGATCCCGAGCGGGAGCACTGACTGCACTCTTCCCATCACATGGGCCTTGGATAACGGGAAATCTGTGGATGTTTTCATCATTCTCACCAACAACCCATTGTGGACGTTTACAGTCAGTCCAGTTGAATCGCTAAAGAAGCACAGGGAGGTAAGTTTTATGTTTTGAATGTGTTCATTCAACAGACTGGACTTTTACAAGTTACAGTGAAGTTTGCTCCAAAACGATGGGTGTTTACCACCATTTACAGTCATTTAAGTTTGATTATTCCACAAGACCTTTCAGCAATGCACTCCAAATAAAGACAGTTAATGCAGTTCATTATAAAAAACAATCATGATTCAAATAAATCCAGTTCCAGATTAGTCCAATTCTTACAGACCCCATTTAAAAAATAAAAACTCAGAAATGAAGAAACCGGCATATTGCACAGAATCTCCCCTTTGATCCAATTAACAAGGCGACTGCGGAAAGAAAAAAAACCTTCCCTATCACAGGAAGAAACCCTTGGCAGAATCAGGCCCGGGGGAGGAGTGGCCAATCCGCCTCAACCAGCTGGGGTTTGAGGGGACAGGAACACAACAGGCGCTCAAGATACCTGATGAGGAGAAGAAACAAAAGTAAACAATAACGACGTCTCATCGATTATGGCAGACAGCCGGGCGCTGATTGGCCAAGGAGTCACATGACCAATCCGATTGAATTTTTTCTGTGATCATAAACATCGTAAATGCCAAGTACATGAACAGATGGTGCCGTCCAACACAGAGGTTTAGTCGCTATATAGCTGCCGCAATGTCCTTGTGTCGTGTACGCATGGCTCTCCGGTCGGCCCGTCTTCCTGCTCGGCTGCAGTTTGTAATGGAAAACCGCGTAAAGCTGTATGGGATGGTTCAGGATTACCTGAGCCACCCCCTAACTATATGTGCCATCAAAAAGGCCATTTTGAAGCTTACTCTTAAAGGTAGAGAGGGTTTCTGCATCTACGACAAATATTGCCTGCTGGTTCTACAGAAACTGAAGTCTCTTCCCCCCCCATTTTGTTTTTATTTAAAAAGAGTAGGCCAGTAATGTTGGAAAATTTCTAACTATGAAGTCTTTAGATAGAGCTTGGTCATGCAGACCTTTATATGTGAGGAGCAGAGTGTTAAATTCTAGGAACCAACGAAGAAAAGCAAAAACTGGTGAATATATATATGAACCATTTGTTTTTGACAGCCCACTAATAATCACAGCCATCCAATCTTGAGGTAAAGGATGCATGTACTAGTTCTCTTGTTTACATTTTTGCAAGATTATTAAAGCCAAAGAAGGCAGTCCAAGAAACCTGTTTTGGGTGGAGTAATCATATAACTATATAGCCTCCACTGTCAATAAAAATTAAATAATTTTATTTCTAACACAAGAAAGATTTGATATGTTTCTGAAGTCTAGTTATTGTCTGTATTCTTAACAGATTTCAGGGGCCAATTCCAAATTGGTGATGTGTGGGCTGACCTCCATCGGACATTCCATCACAGACACAGAGGACAGGGGCCTGCTCAGTGTCAGTGGCTTCGACCTCGGGGCTTTGAGCGTCATTCGTAACCTGTCTCAGGATCTGATATGACGGAGCGCCGGGCCTTTCTCTGGGGGACGTCGCGAGAGGGCAAAGAGCGAAAGGCACCCAACGGGCCGGTGTGGCTCACATCCACAGTGCCCCAAAGGAGCACTAATCCAAAAGATGCTTACATTTCCATTTCCAATACCACCTTCTCCTTTTGGTATTTCGTTGCTCATAGGATTGTCAAACGTCCAGCTGGCTGGACAACTGTCTGGAGACATAACCTGCAAGTTTGTTTTTTTCTATCAAATTCGAAAAGCAAGTATTGAGACGGTGTTGCGTTGTTGCATGTCATGCTATCGTGTCTGTAAAGGGCCGTGTTCTTTCCATAGGTTCTTGGTGAGACTCTAATGCCACACAGATTAAATGAGAGGAGCTGTGAGTCAGAATGATAGAGGTTTACTGCAACAGTAGGTCTATTTCAAGGTGGTTTTCTTTAGTTTCTTGTATGTATCTGTAATATGAATTAGAGGGACTGATGTTGCGTATGGATAAAATGTGTATATAAAAACCGTTCCCTATATTTTATGTAGCGTTCTAAATTATTAACAAGAAAAAGACTAAACAAAGCACCAAAAGTTGGCAGAACACCTTTCTGTTAGTTTGCTTTTCTCTGGAAATTCGTTGGTCAAAAGATTGTCTGTCTTCTCAACATTAACAAGTGGGATTGTTTTTACACAAACCTTGCCTTTGTAGCTTTGTCAATTTTACTGTTATACCTAGTAGTTTGTTCTACTTGAACCATAAATGAAGACCCTTAGTGCCCTTACATGTGATAATCCTTTATATTTATGTTTTTTTAGGGGATTGGAGATGTTTCATGGCAAACTTTTAAGTCAAGTTGAGAAATAAGATCTTCATGTTTTGGTCTGAATTCTATGCATTACAGTTGGTACCTTACTTTTAAATGTTCTCAAGACAAATCACTCCTATCCAATAACTGTTTACCTTAATTAGCTGGTTATGTAGCTGGTTATGTTAGCTAGTTTTAACCCCCCCAAAAAAGGTAAATTTAATTTTGCAATACATGAAATTATGCACTAAAACATTCCGAACAATAGTAACTGAGCCATTTATAGGGAATTTAGATTGATTAGTTAGTAGAGTGGCTCTAATGATGTAGTCAACACTAATTGCTGGCAGCTTAGCCTAATTTAACACCTGCTGTGGTTTGGTCTTTACGAAGAAAATAAACGCCTGACTATGTAACTGTGGAGGATGTCTGCTCACTGGCTTTTCTACCTACACTTAAAATGTTCTAAATATACATTCACTGCAGAAATGTGTGTAGTTTCGCAAAGAAGGTATGTTCGTTCAGAGTTATGGTAGCTGCTCACAAATATTTTACAACCACGGTTAGTTACCTTTCCATTATGTTATCTGCTATATCCATATTGTCAAACAAGTGCATTGGCTATAGCCACAATGTAAACTCTTAATAAACATTTTGCTGCTCTTTTTCTCAAAGATTCATTTTTGTCTTGGAAATCCTTCATGTTGGCGATATCTGTGACTGATACAACGGTTTACATGCTGTGAGTGAAACTTACCACCGGTTCAAATGAATTTACATTCGACTTGTAAATTTTGCGCTGTGCCAAAAGCTCTCCTTACCAAAAGAAAGAGGAAAAGGGTTTAATTAAGATCAGGCACCTTGGAGGCCACATAACGTCTATAACGGGGGCCTTGTAAACACACTACATCAAGGCAGGTGAAGATGGCGGATGTGTTGAGTGTTCTTCGTCAGTATAACATCCAGAAAAAAGAAATCGTCGCGAAAGGAGATGAAGTTATATTTGGAGAGTTTTCGTGGCCAAAAAATGTCAAGACCAACTACATAATCTGGGGGTAAGTCAGTGCTAAAAAGTGTGCGTCTGCTCCGTAGGCCCGCAGCTTATGCTACGGAACAGCGTTAGCTGCTGTGTGCTAATGTGCAAATTAACTCAGTCCTCGTTGCTTTGGAGAAAACTTGCAAATGTATTTGCTTTTTTTGTATCGTCATGCCTTTGCATTGCGCGGTAAACCTCTGAATCACTTTTGCAATATTTATTTGTCAATGTGATATGTTTGTTTTCAGTTAATCTTTTTTATGAGGGCTACATTGCCAAACTTGCCCCACAGTGATGTCAGGCTAAATAATTAGCTACGTCAGCTAGCCCTTAGTTATGTTCTATGAGATTTGGGGTCCAGAGTTTCACAAACAAACTGCTGGCTTTATAGCAAAAAGTTTTGATTGTGAAACACTTTACAAATAAAAATAAAGTTTGGTGCCTCTTTTTCAACTTAAAGTTGCAACGATTAGCAGACCGTGATTGTGTCAACAAACATGATGTTTTCAGAACTGTGTAGAAAAGAAATACTGAATGTTTTTTTTTATGATCATACCACCAGTACTGGCAAAGAGGGGCAACCAAAGGAGTATTATACCCTTGACTCGATCTTGTTTTTGCTGAACAATGTGCACCTGCCGCATCCTTCATATGTGCGAAGAGCTGCAGTAAGTAGATCCAGCCAAGACGCCTTTTTCTGCACATCCACAGCAAAAACTCTTGATGTTGTCTTTCATAGTGTCATCTAATGACGCCACTGTATGTTTATAGACAGAGAACATCCCTGTTGTCAGACGACCTGATCGAAAGGGTTTGCTCTCGTACCTCAATGGCGAGAGTTGTAAGTAGCTCCTTTAATTCTGTTTGGGATGTTGTCATATTTTAAATGGACACACTGATGTTAATTGCTTTAAGTTTGGACCTGCTATAAAATATTGCACTGGGCTTTGACTTGTAACAGCTATCAGGGCAACAGACTAGAGCTCAGAAGGCTGAGATAGGCTCCAGTTTCCCAGATAAAGTGGGCTAAATCAATATATATTTTTAAATGTAGGTAGAAGTTGATATTGGTGCAGCTACAAGTATGATGCATGAAGGACCACCCACGGAACTCTGCCTGTCTTTGATTTGTGTAATGTGAACTGTTTTACAGCGACATCAACGAGCATTGACAGAAGTGCGCCCATAGAAATAGGTCTCCAGCGGCCGACACAAGGTAAAGTCACACCAAAACGGGGATTTCATTATTTAGATTAACATTATCAATGTGTTGACTAGCCTAAACTAAGGGAAGAGTTGAATATTTTTCTTTGGTGGAGGATTTCTGCTTGACCTGGGGCTGCTGAATAAACCCTTGAGTTTGTTAGTTTGTTTGTGTTGCACTGGGATTTTTGCTTTAAAAAAAACTGAACTGTGTTTACTTCATAATTGATGTATTTATTCTAAGCCCTTCCTAATGTTGTTCCATCTACACATTAGAAATTATGAAGAAAACTGGTAAAAGTTACTTCTTGTTTCTGTTTGTTTAGTTTTTTTCCAGATAGAAAACAAATCATTAGGCAGGTGACCCAGGATGTTAGCTTTCCAGTCTTTTTTCCCCTTTTTTTAAGAAAAAGCCCAGTCCTGTTTTCAACCATTTATTTTTGAGAACTTTCCTTAAATGTATGCACTTGTGCAGTGGAACCTAGTGAAGAATCAATATGTTGACCCCATCCATGTGTTTGCTTTTAGTTAAAAGAGCTGCTGACGAGGTATCTTCTGAAGCCAAAAAGCCGAGGGTTGAGGTAAGCTGGCCTTAATGTCGCGAGAAATCAAGTTTAACTTGTTCTAATTTAGCTATAACTTGTCATCTGAAGAGTTGTTGTGGAGGGAACTGAGAAAATTGCTTTGTAATTGTAATGATAGTTTTATAGTGTCATCATCATTGAACTAAGTACCGAAGAATGATCAGTTTCTTTTTTTTTTTTATAGAAATGTCAAAATAAAAAACACCTGCATTCTAAATAAGCACAATAAAATTAAATTACTAACCCAAATGTTGGGTTAAACTGTGTCTGTGGCTTACCAATAACATAAATATAACAAAGGGTTATTGTTACAGTAATGTATCCTGGACCTGTGCGTTATTTTGCCCCACATGAATTATGCATTTGTGTTGATGATTACGTTTGTGTGTGACCAGTGTGCTGAGTTGTATGTTTCAATAAAAGTGAGAATCCTGCTGACTGGATACACACCTGTTTGTTACAAAAGGGAAATCTCTCTTTTTTTTTTTTTTTAAAGTACAACATTAAAGCAGTAGATAAAAGTTAAGTTTTAACAAACTGGAAAGTTCATGTGACCTGTTATAGAATGGAAAAGTGTTCTGAGCTGTTACTATGCGTCTCAGATGGGCAGCAAAACACGTGAGGTTAACTGTAACATTTGTCATTTAATTGTGGTATTTTTCTGTTGTAAATCAAATCTTGTTGCCGCTGCTTTTCCCTTCAGGATGAGGAACGAGTGCGTCTGGATAAGGAGCGGCTGGCTGCCCGTCTGGAGGGCCACAAAGAGGGCATCGTCCAGACCGATCAGATTAGGTAGAACAGAGAGGCTTTGTTTACCAAAGCAAGTCGTTTTTAAAAAAATTTTTAGATGACCTATGTTTCATATTCATCATAACGCTGCAGACATGTATACATAGAATCCGACTGCCACGTTGCATTCAATGACCGAAATCCACAAACTCTCTCAGGTCGCTGTCCGAGGCGATGTCGGTGGAGAAAATCGCTGCCATCAAGGCCAAGATCATGGCTAAAAAGCGTACGACCATCAAATCCGATCTGGATGACGACATCAACCTGAAGCAGAGAAGCTTCGTGGACGCGGAGGTGGACGTCACCAGGGATATCGTTAGCCGCGAGAGGGTATGGAGGACCAGGACGACCATTCTCCAGAGCACTGGGAAGGTGAGAGTCCAATTTGGATCGCTTTTTATTTTGTTGGATAGTCCATTCGCGACTCGAGAGCGCAGATTTCACTGGTTTCCTTTGACTGAGCCATTTCGAGCGGCAAATCCAGATTGTTTGGTGTCAAGAGTTTCCTAAACACAGAGGGTCAATATTCAAAATGTCTTTAAAGTTCAAACCTGGCTTTGAACTTTAAAGGAGAACAATCCCACATTGCAATAAGCCCCTAAAACCTGCAGTTTTCCCATATAAACAGGGGATGTGCAACTTTTAAGTGATACGTGTTCTTTGTTTTGAACGGGGTTGGAACATTTGATTCAGAACGGTTAGATTTTTACCTGCAGAGCGCTCGGTTCAGAGAACCAAAGAGGAATTCTCACAGCAGAGCACAGCTAACTTTTTCTCATCAGAAAAAGCACATTCTCATCTTATAAAACAGCTTGAAAACTTTATTGATGTCCTAGCAACCTCGAGCAAACACTTTTTTCCCTGCTTCACCAGTTCTGCTTTGATGTTTTCTCATCTTACAATGAATGTTTATTTTATTGTGTTTTGATAGATATTGAACCTTTTCTTTAAAAATGATGATGATAATAGTGCCCTATTAAATGCCCTGTAATTATGTTGAACTATTTTTTTTTAACGGGCGTCATTTGGCGTGACATTAAGTGCAGACACCTTCACCCCAGGGTTCATTTTCAAGAATAACACCAAATTGGAGAAGGAAAACTTGAATATCCCTCAGGTTATTTTGATCTGTCACTGGGAGGAGTGTCTGAGGCGCTCATTGATATTCTGACATGTAATTTGATTGGACATATCTAACAATATAGAGCAAAGTTTTGTTTTTGGGTGGGGGGGGTTTAGTTGTGTGTGTTTTTTTTTTCCCCATATAAAACCCTTTAGAAATGGAGTCAAGTCGGTTCCTGAGATTTAAACACGTGCCCTCACTTCCCTCTCACACAGGATGTGTGTCAGTCCAGCCGAGAGTACCAGTGTTTATATTAAAACCTTCCCCCACGTTGCTTTTCACGCAGAACTTTTCCAAGAACATCTTCGCCATCCTCCAGTCGGTGAAAGCCAGAGAGGAAGGGCGTGCGCCCGAGCAGAGACCAGCCCAGAACACCACCCAAGTGGTAAAGATCGCACTCTCTGTGAAACTGCTTCCCTGAATCTGAAAAAATGCCTAATGTTCAACAAAAAATCGGTCCCGGTGCTTGATTTGTTGTTTGAATAAAGAAAAATGGATTTTCTAAAACCGCAATGGTCTGTAAGGTTTCCTCTTAACGGCCTGCCGACAAGTGCTTTGTCTTCCATCTGTTCCAGGACCCGTCCTCGAGGAACAAACAGCCCTACAACAGATACGATCAGGAACGATTCAAAGGAAAAGAAGGTGGGTTGGGTTTTTTTTTTTTTTTGTGTGTGTGTTTTCTTTTTAAATGGGTATCCATTTTTTCTCAGAGCCCCCGTAGAGGGAAAGATGTGGGGAATTAGATTTCATCAAATGTTTCAAAGCCGTACACAAGTAATCTGAACAACGACTCAGCCACATTTAAATGTCAAAGTCAAAGGAAAAACATTCAGATCGAACTGTTTAAGAGTCCATAACATTAGAAAACGTCAGGTTCAGGAAAGAATTTTTTCCCCCGTTTTTTACTTTTTTTTTAAACCCGTTTTCCTTTTTTTCTCATCCCCAGAACATCTTTAGTAACTGCTTTATCAATCCAGTTATGAGATTAGTTTAAAAAACAAACATTACATCTCTAATGGGTTCTTTTGAATAAAACAGCAGTCCCACGGCAGCACGTAACATTCTGCTTGGTGGTTTTATCACTTTACAGTGAGAGTAATTGACTCGTTGCACGATGGCTCAGCAGCTATTGCCAGCTTCACGCTGTCAACTGTTCACAGCAAGCGCATCAGAATTATGCAGGCACAGTTAAAGGGTGACAGTTTTCTGTATAAAGTCAAACTAATCTTAACACCTTTGGACCAAACGAAGGATAGACTAACCTAATATGTGGGCGTGCATTTAATCGCCTTTTTTAGGAAGTCATTTGTGTCATGTCCTCTTACCACTTTTTTTTTTTCCTTTTAACAGAAACGGAGGGCTTTAAAATCGACACCATGGGCACCTACCACGGCATGACTTTGAAGTCAGTGACGGTAAGACGAAAAGCACCAACCCTTTTGGAGCTTTCATACATTTGCCAAGAGCTCCTGCTTCACAAATGGGCTCAATCCCAGTTACAGACTGCAGAGACTGGGGAAGTTCTGGCATTCGTACTTCTTAGAGGGGGGAAAAAAAACACGCGCAGGGCTTCTGTGAAGTCTTCATAAGTGACCCCCCCCCCCACACACACGCACACACACACTGCAGAGCATAGGTTGGGAGAACTTGTTGAACAGGTGAATGGCAAAGATGGCTGTTTTGGGAGGGGGTTAGAATAGAAGAAAAGGAGGGGGATTTTATTTAATTTTAATTAATTGGCTAAGAGACACACTTGTCCTACTTCGGTATGCAGGCCAGTCATTTTGATCAACTCTTTATGTTAGGTTGTCGCACACTGTACCAGGGTTTCTGCCCAGGAGCATGATCACGGAACATGACAGCAGCGAGCCATCCACACCTACTAAGACTTCTGACTAATCCCCCAATAATCGTAGAACCCCCCGTTTTGTTTTGTTCTGGCAACTGTGGAAACTGAGGACTTAAAGTTAAGGGGGGGGGGGATCATCATGTAGAGGTTTTTTCGAGTCTCGGCGAAAAATGCGGTCGCAGTCTGGAGCCCCGCTGCTTTCAGATTCAACGACACACTCACTCCCTGCACATGGCTGGGTTGCATCGAGAGGCCTTTATTCACCCTGTCCACTTTGTTTGTATCAAACACTTACAGAGAACCTCCGGTGTGTTACAGAAAATGTGCTTTGGCGCCACAGCGAACGCAGCGGATTGTTGTAAAATAGAATCGCGTACTCAAAACTTTCCCAAAGTCAGACGCAGACGTGATATGACATGTAGAAAAACTGCCATCATATTGTAGAGCATCTCATCCACTATAGTTAAAGAGAAAAACATTTTTACCACAACCAAGTCAAGATGAAGGAATGTGCTCGATCGGACCGTTGTCGGGCCGCGCCACCAGGCGATTGGGTGCATGAGCCAGGCCGGCCCGGCCCCCCCCGCGCTCTTTGAAGGCGCCGGCGCAGGCCTGGCGCTTGTTGCTCTGAAGGTGGTGCCAGTACTTGAGCAGCTCGTTGGGGTGGAACCCGTGCGACGTGATCAGGTGGCTGTACTTGCAGCTGGAGTACGACACCCGCCAGTGGTTGAAGAGGAACCCGTTTGGCGGCGGCGCCGGCTCGATGCGGAGCCTGGCCAGGCACACCCCCACGTAGACGTCCTCCAGGTGCAGGCGGCGGGTGCTCAGAGAGGCCCCGTAGACCTTGGCGGCCACGTCGCCAGAGAAGACGTAGCCCGTGCCCGAGCAGAAGGTGGGGTACTTCTCGCCGGGGTACAGCTCCGGGGGCATGTACCACTTGCTGTCCTTGTTCCGGTTGGGCGCGAACCCTCGCATGTTGCTGCCCGTGAAATAGTTCCTCCTGGGCTCCAGCTCGGGCCGCAGCAGCTTGTAGATGAGGTGCTCGGTGTTGACGAACACGTCACTGTCGGTCTTCATTACGTAGCTGGCCCGCGGGCAGTGCACCGCCACCCAGTTCATGCCCATCAGCGTCTTGGCCGTCAGGTTGTTGTAGGAGTCCAGGAAGTCCTGCTGGATGATGTCCCGGTGCCTCTGACTCTCGGCCTCCAGCACGCTCTGCTGCAGGCGCCCCAGCTCGCCGTCCTTCTTGCCCAGCAGGAAGAGCCGGACCAGGCGCAGGGCCGGGGCCACGCTCTCGTTGCCCCACGTCTGCCGGATGGCATTCCTCGCCTCCACCTGCCTGGCCTCCGTGGTGACCAGCAGAACCAGGAAAGGCGCCGGCTGGCCCCGGGCGCATTTGTCCGGCTCGTTGATGACGTACGGGAAAGGCCCGGGCGCCACCGTGCCGCCGAGGTCGCCCTCCTCCCTTCGGGTGGCGTTTTCGGCGGCTGCGGCAGCGATGTGAAAACGCTCGCCGCTTCCACGCAGAGGCACCACCCGCCGACCAGCGGGCGAGCTGCCGTTAGCCTCCGTCTTCAGACTCGGCCGGGGAACGATCACGAACCTCCACGCCACCTGCTGGGCGCTGGCGTTCCCCCTCGCCTTGAGGACCGGCGGCCCCCCACCTCGGCGCACCACGGGGCTGCCCCTCCGCCAGGGCCCGGCGGCGAGCTTGGGCAGCCACACCTGGTGGACTATAAACGCCAAAACGCCCAGCAGCGAGACAAAGTAGACGCGCTTGGCCGCGTGCGCGCAACAATGGCGGCGTCTCCACTGCATGTCGCTGCCCACCGTCACACCGGCGAAGCCCGGGTTGAAGCAAGAGACCGATCCCCATCGAGAGGGCGGAGAGTGGGCCTTGGGCCGCCGAAGGGCATTTTTGCTTGCACGTTATTTAGTGTCGACGGTTCCCAGAGTCTCTGCCGGCATCACCTGCAAGGCACAACAGGAGAAGTCATCTCGCAACCAAATATTTACACCAACAAAGCTGCTGTAGACAGTGATGTAGAATGGGAACTACAACTCACATTCTGACCCATCTGGATGGATTTTAAAGCCTTATTCAGACATCATTTCTCATTCTGAATTTTTATCAGGAGCTGCTGAATACCTGCTTTTGATAATCTGGATTCGGCTTTGCATGGAGGGTTGGGGTTAATCGAGCTGTCTGGATGCGTTTTTAAACTCGACACAGTCGGATTCAGGCATAATTTCTTTTTTCTGAGCTTTTCTAAGAAGCTGCCAAAAATCTGCTTTTAATAATCCGGGTTGGGCTTTTTGGTCGGTGAAGTCAAACTTGCGTGCGGGTGCAGGAAATGGTTTCTGTGGCTTCTCAGTTTTGCACCAATCTCACCTCTGTAAGGTCTGTTCTGTTCAGCGTTTTGGCTTTCGCTTTGCATCAGATAACGGTTGCACACAACTGCTTCATCAGCCCGCTTTACCGTAACCCCCCCACCCACACAGGTACCACTCTGTTTTCCCACTGACGTTCCCACGCGGTCTCAAGCTGTCACCTTTTTTTTTAACCTGTTTTTAGAGCGTGTCATCCCCCCAAAAAACAAACATCAAAGTCGGCATCTCGCTGAAAGCTGCTGCTGTTTTGGTCGTTTCGTTTTTTTTTTCTTAATTTTGGAGTCGCTCTCACACATTTCCTCCTTCTTCTTTTCCCCAACTGAATCACGCAGTACTTTTTCTTAAAGGGACCCAGCAAGACAAAGAGCGACTTGTGCAAGTTGAAAAGACTCTCTTGCTCTCCAGTTCGGCCCACATTGAACGGAGCCTTTGTGTAAGGAGCACTCACCCCCTCACGGTCAATCGGATGCGTTTCGCATACCAGATTTTTTTTCTTTCCCCACTTATTTATCTATTTGGCTGCCGTTCTTATTATGGACTCACCCGTTTTGACCCGAGCCCCGCTTCCCTCCGTGGTGTCTCTCGGACCGCAGCAGGATTAATCACCGCCTGCAAACGCACACGCATGCACACACACACACACACACACACAGATCGCGTCTCTCCTCTCCCCCTCGTTAGCAAATCACAGACACACAGCTGTAACGGCTCATATCCTCTTTCATTTCCTCTGCAGAGTCCGACAGTTCATCCTCTCCTCTGGCTGTCGCTGCGGCGGGGCTGTTTTTCATCACGTGGGGGGGGCGGGGGGACGTCGTTTTCCGAGTATTTTCTGTTGCGGTGGAACATGACGAGGAATGTGTCAGAGGCTCCGGTGTTGCAGTCTCTCTCGTCTTTTTTGACGCATCGTCCTTTTTTTTAGAGGCTGTACTCCACAGCTGCCGTGTTGCTCATTTTAAAGGGCAAAAATGAGGGGGGGGGAGAAGGGGGAGTCGGCAGCCGACAGTTAGCCGCTGCTCCGGGTCAGTCCGCCGTCCTCGTCATGTGGTGCGAGCCACGCCAGCATCGGTTGGTTGGTTGGTCGGGGGGGGGACGCGGGAGGCTCACATCCTCTCCTCTGTGTGTCAGAGGCAGCCCCCCCCCCCCTCTCTCTTCTCTACGGTGTGCCTCTTTCTCCCTCTTTGTTTTCAATTTCCTCTCTCTCCTCCTTCAGCAGCCTCCCAGGCTCTGCTCTGCCGCGGAACCGTCCACGAGAGGCGCGCATACGGCGGGGGAGGAGGAATACAAACGGGGGGGGGGGGGGGCGTGCAGAGCTGTCGTGTTGCGCTTCGGTTCATAGAGGCAGCTCGAGGCGCTACGTTGGTGGAAGAGCGTCACGCCGTCTCTGTTGCTGCCTGCTCCGCTTCATGAAGGGAGGAGAGCGAGCTGGGGGGGGGGGGGGTGCGGGGGTTGGGCTACTGACCTATTTGTATTCGCAGCCCCTCACCAGAAATAGGGGTGGTGCAATCGGCAGTTGCGGATGCTTTTAAGAGAGGAGAGGAGAGTTCCTCGACCCCAGCTCTTCCCAAACGCCCAGTTACCAACGGCAACCGTCCGGTCGTGGGCTCCCACTCGAGCGGAAGGCATCTCACGCCAAACCGTTCGCTGCTCGAGTTCACTCAAGCGCCGCCGCCGCGTCCCCTCGACTCAGCCTCAAAGAAAGATCACCGGAAGGGTCAGGGGAAGAGGACAGCCGGTTTGAGACGGTCAGCTGCAGGCCAAAATCTCTGCAAGGCCAAAAACGTCCGACTCCCTCTTGTTCACGCGTCCACCTCGAAGGGCAAAATAAGCTGGCCACAATAGGGGGCAGACGGGTATAAAAAAAAATATATATTAAAAAAAAAAAGAAACGAGGCTGGGTCCAGGCACCAAAGCCAGTTAAGTTTCCCGCTTAGTCCAAAAATGAACAACTAGAATAAGAAATCGACCAACGCTCCACCCGTCAGGCCTCGGTTTAATCCGCTCACGTCTAAGGCTGCACAGCATCCTAAACGGATATCATTTCACGGCTCCTCTGAACAAATTGGCACAGGTTCAATACCTGTGCCGAAGTCCTGCAGACCTTTTGGCGGCGAGTACTCATTTCTGAGCCTCTGTCGCGGTCCGTCCAAGCAACTTCAGCCTGTGAAGCTGTTACTGGCAGCTGGTGGTCCCAGTCATGATAATTAGAACGTGCACTAATGACTAAATATAAATCATTTTTGTAGGGGCGAGGCGGAATGAGACTCTTAGGCCTTATCAGCAGCCTTAATTACAGCCATTTGTAAAAGCTGGCTTCTAATTTATTTATTTTTTAGTTAAATATCTAGTGAGTTGGAAGAGGTCAACTTGAGTTGTGACCCATGTCAAAGGCACATTTGTGGGGCCTCCTTCTTTTTTGTTTCCTATCGTGCTGCAACTTCGAACTGAACATTAGATATAAAGCGTTCAGTACTTCCTGGAACTGATTTTTTTCCAGAACATTTTCAACTTTTGACGTCCCAGCCATAAACAAAAGAATGCAGCCTTTTCAGTTTGGTCATTGTAGTCTGTACGACAAGAGCATAGACTGGAAACTATCTTTGCGTGAGTTTTTCCGCACCCTCTGTGGCTCCAGACACACCCCCTCCAAGATTTGGAAGGCTCTGTAGCTCAGTCATTTCCTGCTGGTCTACAGGCGAAGGGCAGTTTTCACTTTTCACCCAAGTGAGATAAAGATGGCCATGAACCAGGAACTGACATCTGGAAAAACTGCTCCTCTGTGCCCAAAAATAACCAAACCTGAGTAAAATGACCATTAAAAACCTGAACTTTGTAGATGGGTAGGTTTCTTAATGATAAAACAGTCCTTGACTAGAAAGTGCTGGTTCCTTGAAACGGATCTGAGAATGCTGAATGCAGGTGCCAGAAGGGGCCCAAGAAAAGCTAAAAAAGACAAAAGTCATCTCAAAGCAAAAGACCAATAGCTGAAGGATCCCTTAACGATAACCTGGAAAGAGGAATAAAGATGGCAAAAGGATTAGAAGAAGGAAAAAAAGCATTTGTAGAAGGCTTTGAAATTCTCATGAAGGTACCAAAAGATTCTGATCAGTTGGACAAGGGGAAAAATGAGCTGTAAAACAGATATGAAGTGAACTAATACGAAGAGAAAAAACAAAACAAAAATCGAAGATGAGAAAAACAGATTGTAGAAGAATTTGGAGAAGAACTTGAACAGAAAAAGAACTGCAAAAGACAATCGGAGCACAGATATAACGAGTACTCCAGAAAAGTCAAAGGTGAAACAAATCACTAGAAGTGAATGAGAAATTGTCACTACGGATTTCTCAAGGGCACAAAAAGGCCCAAACTGAAGGACATCTGAATCTAAGTCAAACGAAATTTGACATCAAGCTTTAAAAGCACAGTATTAAGAGGGTCAAAGGTCAGATACGGCTGTATTTGGGGAGCGGTGACAGCTCAAGAGCATTTAAAGACCAACCTAAAGAGATTTATTAAAAGTGATCAAAGGTAAAACAAATCAGGCAAGCACTAACGTGTGAAAAAGAGGAGAAAAAAAGACAGGACAAATGTTAGAAATGATCAGAATTAAGTTTAAGCTGAGTCTAGTTAGTTGTCATGGAGGGATTGTGGAACGCATCTGTGTTTTTCCCTTTAAAATGGAGCCAGAAATGTGAACGATTTCAAAATAGGAAACTAATTTTTTTGGTCTGCTCATTTTATTGCAGTCAGATTTTAATATTGATTTTTCAATATAAACCTTGAAGCATAATTTTGGCACCCTCACAATAGATGCTTCATTACAGCAGGATACCTGCCAGTTTTATTCATTTGCGTGTATTGACCTTGGCATCAGCAATTTGTAGAGAAAAAAAAAACGTCCTGTATAATAGAATATTTCAGACATCCCGTGCATACCCAATTCATGCTCCGATTTTCTTCAATCAGCATTTCTCCGCAGAGCAAAAAGATTTGCATTCATGGGCAGGGTGTGCATTAGTGGAATGATTAGGGCTTGGTTTGAGGTTCAGAAATGTCACCAGGCACCTTCCACCCCCACCCCACCCCACACATTTAGTCATGTGCTTGCTTGTTCATTCGGGCCCTTTCGGGTAGTAGCAATGTAACTCACTTCTTGCCGCACTGTGACCCCGATGTGACTAACATATGAACACACATTCTTTTTAACCACCAGCGATATCCGTGGACAATTGTTCCGATGCACAAAATGAGTCGTGACCTTCCACTGGGGCCTCATCCTGCTCGTCTTTTTTTTTTTTTTTTTTTTTTTTTTTT